CTACCAAAAAGCCACAATCTTGCCTTTATATACGACCCGTCATGTCCCCTCCTCTTGCATATCTATACGTTAACTTTCTCCTTCTTCTTCTTCATAGTCTCACTTTCTCACTTGGGCTATATCCTCATTTTGCTTTTTGAACTTTAATTCCAATTCTTGTTAGTTGGAAAATGGAGAGATCCGGTGGTTGCGGAAGGAGTGGACGGTGGCAGCAGCTGCGACGGAGGAAGAGGAGGAGAACCCTTTTCTAGCTTTAATGTAATGATGGGCTCATCATCATCATTGATGAAAGAGCTTATCATTACAAAATGAAAGTGACAACAACATCCCAACAACAAAGAAAAAGCTTTGCAATTTCCGCTCTCCTGATTTTTCTAGCCTTTAAAAAGAATGGCAGAGTTAGGAGAGCGATATCATTGCATTGCGGGGGAATTGAGGGTAGCGGTCCGAGTTTACCTTTTTTTTAAAAAAAAAAATTAGGTCTAATATGTTCTTAATCTCTTCTAGTTTCAACCTAGCTATATGCTAATCCTTTTATTTTGTTTTTGTTAATGGGTTTACATTAAAAAAAATATGGGATGTAAGAGATGCATGCGAGGAAGCTTTTGTTTTGGGGTTAGGAAATTAGGGGGATTCTATGGTTATGGGAATGGGAAGTCTGGATTTGTTATGATTCCGGGCATGCATCGCTTACACCCGTCATGTACTATTGTTTACTGCTTTTAGTTTCTACCTTTTCTTAATGCTATAATTAACTATAAATTATAAGTTTCACTTTCTTCAGTTGGCCTTCTTCCTGCTATTGATTTTTATCGTGTAAATCAGATTATTCGGAATTAATGTTGTGAGTGTACAGATATCAAATTTTACCCAAATGTAATAAAGCGAAATTAATAATATATAAAAGCTGTGTTTTATCTGAGAATGAAATGCAATTAACAACAGGTCATTTTTGTTTACTTTTTGGAGTCATGTCATTCTCTTCTCGTTTTCTTTTCTATTTTTTTTTTTTAGAGGTAATAAGTTTCTCTTCTCGTTTCCGACCAATGAAAATGTATTGAGAATGTAGTCAGGCTCTGTTTGGAAGGTTTTTTGATGGTTTTTTTCAAAATAATTAAATAATAATTTTCTCATCCCAGCATACTTTTTTACATTTTCAATACATTTTTTTATATTTTTAATATAAAAAATACTTAAAAATACACACTGAAAAACGATCCAAACATAGCCTCAGATTGGTAACTGATTCCTCGTGCATAATGCAAATGAAGTAGCCTCTTACGTCCAATTGATATTTCCCAATTCAATTTCTCACACATTAAACTTAGTATGGCTCATCCCAAAGAAAGGCTTTCTCCTCTTCAAATATTTTAATTTGTTTCGCCTCAAAACAATTGTTATGGAGCGAGAATTACAAAATTTGATTTTCTGGTGTTTCATTGTACTAGTACGAAAGGGTCATCTAAGCTAGGTGAATTTGGTGCCAACAGTGAAAAAAAAATGCCCCCAATTTTTTGTGTACTAGTTAAAACAGTAGTCAGTAGTACTTTCGAGTTTGTACATGAATTAATCTAGGGTAGATGAACTTTAGAATTATTAGGCCCTCCCGTCTTTTCAGGGGAAGAAAAGAAAATTCGTGTCAGTGTCCCCTAAACCCATATCCGTATTCTAAAAATGGGGTGGTTTCATACCAGCTATAGAACAAAGGTCTACTACACTATACACTACGGTCTACCGATAATTAATAATCTCCTGCGTGTACAGAGATCTTCTTCAAGTTGACAAAAACTTGAAATGCCAAAAAAGGCTACACACACTCGTCTTTTCCAAGTGTCCTGTCAATTAATTGTCATTGTAAAACCGTAAAGACAAGGAAACGTTACTGCTTACGTTACTGCTTTGTGGAGTGATGAATTAAAAGCTTTAACACAGCATGAATGCAAGTACACTTTTGCTTCACTTGCTTAAGATTATGTATAGTAAATTGTTTTGAACCAATAGTTTCTTTAAAAACTATTTATCACATTGTTACAAGTACGTACACCTTTTAGGCTAATTGAAAGACGTTCAATATCGGCCTAGAAATGAGACCTATTGGTTTGGAGACCACTTGTCTGGCACGTTTACAAGACTGTGAGCCGACGAATCAGTGGTTCCGAACTAGATGATCCAACGTTCACTACTTTTTTTTTTTTCCGACTTTTGTAACGATTTTTAATGAGTCAAAACGCTTCAATAAAATGTAGTGAAGATGATCAGTACGTCTAAAGCCTATATAGTAGTATATACTAGCAATATACATTAATAAATACAGCTACGATGGGACTGGGACTGCAGGCACTTTGGCACTGGCGTCTCTATGCTCTGTAATCTGCACTTCTGCATATCCATAATCTATAGGCAAGACCCCTAAACTACTACCAAATACTGCAAAGTACCCCTAAAATTGGGGGCAATTTGTCTATGTTTAATCAGCCTTTTTTCTTTCCGAATTCAGAAGCCCAACTGGTTTAATATAAAAGCTTTGTTTGAGCAGTTTTATCCAGAAACCAGAATAGCCAGTATAGTTAATTAATTAACTATGGTTCTATTTCTATCCTACTTACTACTGAAACAAGAAGTCAGAAAATGATCAGTGAGTAGTTTCAGTAGTACTGCTTTTCAAGATAGCTAGCTGATAGTATTAATTTTCTGATGCTTATTCTCACCAGCTTATTAGCATCTGGGAATGTGAATTATCACTGAACTGGAAACCCGTTTTTATTTAAAAGCTGGAATCTTGCCCGGAGATGCTACGGACCCAGTATGTATATAGCCACCCTGCTGCATGAAAGCTATTACCAAAAATCAACCAGCAAAGTCTGTTTTTAGCTTTCTGAAACCATAACGATTTCGGGTTTTGTACCCAATACAGAGTTTTTTTGGATTTTCTCCTTTTCGGTATCTCTGTAATCTGTATTAAATGATCTTGCTGTTTTCCTTGATTGCGTCCATTTCCCGGAATGATATTTACCAGCCGACTTCCTCAGTCCCTGATATTTGTATATTATTATCGTCTAATGTGTGACATGACGAGGTCTAATTAATATGGTGTCGCAAAATATTTTAACCGAAAAAAAAGCGCCTTTTAGTCCCTTAATAAAAAACCCCATCAAATAATTATACTTACATAAACAAAAATTCAAAAAAGGAGGTCACTCAATCTCACAACAATGTTATTAATTAGGGCAATCTTGCAAAATGATTGTTGTGTACATAAAGTGATAATCTCAAGAGAAGTAAGGGCATTGGCGCATCTGGTTTCTTATATAAGAACCATGATTAATTTCCTGAATTGTCAAATGACTGGATATTTTTCACTAATCTGCTTCTCCATGGAGAGAAGGTTGTGCACTATTTGCCAGGTTGTTAGAATGAAAATAATTTGTTGGTTTGATCAATTCACACACACACACACACACATATTCTCAGTAGTATGCTTTGAAGAAGTACTATTTTTCTTTAAAAAAAGTTTCTGAAAGAAATGTTATGGAAAATATCAAGGGGAACAGTGGATTAAAATGGAGAAGCTTGGTTAGAAAAACGAAGAAGGCATGTTTGCTTAATTTTGTCGTTGAGATTTGGGTACAGTATTCAACGTAAGCGTCACCAATAATAATCCCAGTTAAAAAAAAAACGTAAGTGTATACTTAGTGATAATCATAACGTGATATTAACTTTGGTTTTGTACCTTTGTTGATTTTAAAGAGGAAAACTGTGTAATTGTGTCATTTTGTTTGTTGCATTTTAGTTTGGAATGTTGGATTATTGCTTCGATAATGCTTCCATAATTCCAGACAAATATCATCAGTCCAAGATCTTGATTTCGACGCTCTTTCAACAACCCACTGTTTACCAAAAAAGATAGCTTTGATGAAGTAGCGTAGCTGTTCAAATGTTACCCAATTAAGTTATGAAAAAAAAAAAAGGATTCAAAGAGGAAATGTGAAGAGTTCGAATGCATCATCAGTACGAAAAGAAAAAGCCAGATTATTGGTCACCGATTCACTCCGTTGATTCAAGGAAGTTGGCAACTCTTATAAGCAGAAATGAACAAATTTATTGCAATCGAGATGTCGATAAAATTGGGTATTTGGAGTTGGACATCTAGTTTAGTGTCTGATAGAGATTCAGATGTTAATTGACCATGGACGTTCATGTTGTAATGTTTTTTTTTTTTTAATTGATTGCAAACATTATTAATAAATCGTATTGGCTTACGAGTATAAAAGAGCATGTTGAGGAAAAACACTTTTGTAATGGCCATTGCCAATGTTTTGTAATTCAAGAAGTTTTGTACTACTACTTTCTCAAACAAAATACTCATTTCCGTCCTAATTATAAAGCACAAATTAACAATAAAGTTAACATAAATTTGTGTTTCATTATGATTGAAGTGGTCTTAAAAGATTGTACAAAGGAAAAAAAGAAAAAAATAAAAAGAAAGAGAAATAATGGTAATATTTATCCAAAATCAATGGATTTCACGAAACATTCACAAAAAAAAAAGAAAAAAGGACAAGCATCTTGCCACAAAGAAGCTCCCTTTATTTATTAACTTTTCAAAATAGTTCTTAGTTCCAAATCCTATATATTTAGATTTTCTCTGTTTCAGAATGATTCTTCATTTTGAGATGGGTCAATATAAAGATTCACAAATTTCATGCAACAAGAAACTACAAACACCTAATCACCACACTACATTATTAACATCTTAGACAAAATTAAGCGACAGCTATGTGAAGATGATAACTACATATTATACTAGAAGAGCAAAGTAACGGTTTAATCACGAATCAAATCACAAGACCGTGTATTCATCATGTAAAACACCAAGATACATCATGTAAAACACTCGAAAGATGATACCAAAAGCAAATATTACAATCTCCTCCATGATCAATCCCTCCCCAAACAAAAACATACACAAATTGTTTGGACTTTACAACACAATTTTCAACCTAGACATCGGTTTTGATGGAAGCACTATAACCAGTCTCATCATCATAATACTTGGACCAAAGCATAACACCTCCATATTTGTCAGACCCCTTAAGAGCAGGAAGCACCGATGATGTTAAATCATTCACCGGAATAAATCCACTTCCGGCAGCATCAGGCGCGGCGGGCAATCCAAGAAAAATCTTGGTAGCCTGAATCGACGAAGTCCATTGATTCCATGAACCTTCGAGGTTGTTCAAATCCCCTGATTGGAACTGACAGGGCGGATTGTTGTAGAATTGAACCCAAACATAATCAAAAAGCCCTGTTTCCAATGCACCTCCAACCCATTGATCAGGAAAAGGGCACTGAGGCGCTGCAGTTAAATAAACTTTCTTACCAGATCTCTTACCATATTGATACAAATACCTTGCCAAATCACCCCAATATTCACTCCCTCCTCCTTCAATGTCGAAATCAATCCCATCCAAAACAGCGTCGCCTAAAGGGCGATTCGAGGATTTCCCTCCAAGGAAATTGTTCCATAAATAAGTCGCAACTTGTCTCGCGTCCTGATCCGAGTCCAGCGAATAGCTAACGAGCCCGCCTCCAATGGAGAGCATCACTTTGATCCCTTTATCCTGACATGATTTAATGTCGACGCTTAAGGCCGTGCAACCGTTGCTGTACGGATCGCAATGGCCGGCTAAGTTGATCATCGGTGTCCTGCCACCGCCAAATGTTGAGAGAAATGCTAAGTTCACGAACTGGTAGTTTCCAGTTGCGCAAGTATCAGCTAATGTGCCTTCGTTTCCATTCTGACCCCAGTAAATTGCGATTCCTCCACCTTCAGATTGTGCTACCATTATTACGAACATTACTAGAAAAATAACAACTTGTTCTTTCATTGAGGCCATTTTTTATTAAGATAGTCACACACAGAATATTTTGTGTTTTTGCTTGATTTGTTTGTTGAATTGTGTAACCAGCATTTTTTATAGGGGTAAATGATAGTATAAGGACAATCAAATTTGTGCTGCAATTTTGTGTCTTTTCATTAAGGTGCGTGGCAAAGAGGTTAAATTTAGCACCTAATCTCCTTCTCTGGTTTTTCTCTTCTGATGAATATGACCTCTAAAAATACATAATGAAACATTTTGACTGCTCCAGATTATGTTATCTGATTCAAATTTTCTTAGCTGTGTCCTATACTCCTATTCACACCGATAATTGCCAACTTAGTCATCTAAATAGGAGCTTGATGGCCATAACTTCTTTTTTAAAAAATAAAATATTGCATGATCATCATCAATTATAGACTTATATTTGATTTTAATCCATCGTGTTGAATTGGACGTATAACTCTTTGAACGCGACATTGTAGAGGTCGTAGACATAGTAATGTTCATTCTACATATAACTCGTTAGTAACTAGCTAACTTAACACGCTAGTAATTTGATGGATTTTGTGAAAATTTCGACTGCTAGAGGCCATTATTGACAATGGCTATGGCACGAAGGTGAATTGGGCTGCATGTACCCAGGCCTTTCGTATGATTGGATGGGAAACTAGTCCAGGCCTTTCGCATGTACCCACTATGTGACTGCGTGAAGCCCATTATATTGACATCTTTCATCATTTTCATTTTTCACACAACTGTTGGGCAAAGAAAAAAAAAGCTTTGAACATAGAACCAGGCATTGTTTATGAAAAGTTTGAAGACAATTCTTAGAGTTATACACCTTTAGCCCCCTCGAACCAATGTTTTCAAAATTGGGATTTCACACAGGATCGTTTTGGCATCTCAGGATTTGATCGAATTCTGGATCGGTGGAATCGTAACCACTTAAAATTTTATAATAATTCTGAAATTGCGAGTTTCAATTTGTTAGTTCAATTTTTGTTTGATTTTATGGAGGAGAAGTAGACTAGTGCCCACATACGTATTATTAACTCCAAATTTCAACTTTTATATATTTTCTAATCATTTCTCTCTCTTTTTATACAAAATCAACAACTTGTACAAGTATCGACAAAATCAATGGGATCATTGGATCGTAGGATCCTACGATCCGAATTGAGATTTTGAAGGATTCCATAAAATTCCACTACAAAGAAGGATTTCATAAGATCCAGGATTTATTTTCTAATTTCAGATCGCAGGATCGTAAGATTCTAAAATCCGGATCAGGATTTTGAAAACTATGCCTCAGAACGATTACCGTTTCAATTTCTCAAATTTGCAAATTGATTTTCTCTCTCATTTTAGCATTTGTGACTGAAGAATAGGTAAACTTGTCTCTGTTCTTGGCATTTATCTCATCATATCACATTCTGTTTATACTTAAAAATATTTGAAACGTTTTATGAATAACTAGTTAATTAGTAAATTAGTCGGAAAAATGAGATAGAAGTCGTGAAGAAGATTGATTGATTCTCAACTGAAGAAGCATTTTTTGGGGGGGAAAAAGAACCAAGTACTAATTGCTCATTGACCATGAATGTTGGAGTTAAAAAAGGAAAGTTCTAGGTAATTTGAAGGAGTCTATTATTCATAAGGCGTAATATCACGGATCGAGTGTTATTTAATCTAAAATTGAGATATAGATATGCATGTTTATAATTTTCTAAACGGTCTACATCGCTTGAAAACGAGTCTTAATGAGAGTAACAATTGATTAATGTATGACAGGCAATAGAGTATTAGAACGAAAGGACCACTCTGAAAATTGCTAAGCAAAAGAACAAACACTGAGGAGCCATTATCCGTGTGGGTCTCTCAGAAGAAGAAGAATAAGCAAAAAACCGTGTCCAAATCAAATAAAAGTGCCTCTGAAAGTTGTTCTTCGGCAACAGGGAGAATGGGGAAAAAAAAAATATCAACACAATTGAAGAAAGCGACCATATAATATAATGGTGGGTGAAATGAAATCGACTAGGTCTCTCCATACCTGGGGACAAATAACAAATTTTAAGCTGGCCCTTTATTCAATCTCTCCCTCTTGCTTCTACAACCACAAGGAAAAATCTTGCGAAAACAAAATGGTCCAAAACTCCAAACAGATTCGCTAAAGCCCACATGGATCAAATGTTTCTTCACATGGACACCCCTTTGGCAACATGTGCTGTATCATACACAAAGGGGCTAGAATGCTCTTATTTTTTGGGGGCCCTTCGTATTCGATACGAATGAAAGTGATGTTCTTTTTATCTCGCAAGCTTTCTTTATCAAAGCAGTTATTTTGTTTTTATTTCCCTTCCTATTCTTGATTTGAAATACTAAAAATCGTCAAAGATGCAAAAATGTGTTAGGAATACTAAAAGAATGATTTCATAATTGTAATTGCAGAGTTTTTGTGTTTTAAATTGTAATTTTGTTTGCTTGTTTGGTTAAGGAAGAGAAAGAAAACTGGAATCTTTTGTATGGTAGTAATAATTAAACTAAATGGGGGGAAGCTAAATAGAGAGCACCAAAATTTATGTGGTTCAGTTCTGTTAAGGAAGGAAAGAGGAAGTCTTTAATAACAAAAAAAAGATAATGTGTCGACTTTTCAGGTGAGTTACAAGTACAACTGAGTTGTCCCAATGGTTAGTAATAAACACTCTCAACTAAATGTAGACTTTAGCTCGTGTATTGCCAAGAACTTCCGTTTTTGGGATGATCTTGCAAATGAAAGATATATCTATAGTAATTCCCTCCTCACTAAATGTTGTAGCTCAGAACTTGCGACTTAATTGCTAGAAGTACAGGAAGAGACATCTCATCATTACGTTACACTAGGTGTGACCGGGAGTGATTTATGACAAGATTAAAATTTGAAGGTGAAATTAAATTTGTGGTTTACGATGTCTTTAACATGCGGCAAGGAACAAGCCACATTGGTAACATGTTTATTTTTATGCCGTGACTAAAATCGTTGTTTTAATCTAGCAGTTGTCTATTCGGTCACTGACTGCGTTAATTTTTATTCATTATATTTTGCGATCATCTTTTTGGATTTCAGCGCGAGATCTTAACGATCATACCATGTCATCAAAGGTCGTATTCATGTCAGGATCCATCTTTCGTACCTTGATAACTATGATAGTATTCATGACGATAATAGGTACAGACTGACAGAACAGTGTAAATCATCATAATAATGAAAGTGACAATGACATAAATAGTAACTACAGTTATTTGGCGCCATAAGTAGGTTTACAGAAATCAACAGTAGGAGTTGGTGATAATAAGGGAAGATGAGAAAAATCTGAAAAAAAAATTATTAAGGATACCTTTGTGTTCATCCAAGTCCTGTGATGAGTTAACTTATTGTATTAGTTGATTAAAAGAGCGAAATAATTAAAGTTTTACTCCTTCAACTTTAATGAATTTCACGTTGGTCCTTCAACTTGTTGACTTAGCTTCAGTTGGTGCACATTCTGTTAAAAATTAAAATATGATTAATTTAGATAAGATGAGACGATACATGTGATCTTCTATATCACTTTTCTATCACACATTTTGTAATACGTAGTATCAATTTAAAGTTTAACCCATATACACATTTTTATTTTCTCCTATTAATGATTCATCTACATATAAAAATATGTGATTATTTTTTTGAAATAGAAGTAATACTTAAACCATCTAATCTCAAAGAGATTGATTTATTTAGGTGTTCGTTAAGGGAGATTTTAAATTGAGAAACAATTCAGCGATAAGCAAGTGAGAATTGATTTTTAAGGGAAGGTGGTTTTGTATTGTTCGTAGTTATTGGGAACTGCTGATTGGGTCAACGAGAATGGAGGTCCGTATTCGAAACTAATTTAAATCCAATCCTGAATCACCATTGCCGGGTTTAGCCAAAAATCGCTTAAGCCAAAACAAAAGTTTCTATAAATAATCACCAACACAAAAAAAAAAATTAAAAAAAAATAAAAATTAATACTGGAAAAAAACCACTCTATTTATTCACCTCAAGATCTAACAAAAGGAGGGAGGAAAACTATATACATAAAGGTGGTGTTTAAAAAAAAAAAAAAAAGAAAGAAATGAAAAAGAGCAACGTCAATGAGGCTCTTCAAAAACCCTGTAGCCAGAAAGGAAAAAAGAAGAAAGTGGGCAAAAACAATTCCCACAAAAAAAAAAAGTCAAAGGTCAAAATTGACACCAACCTTCCACATCTATGATTTTTTTTTCTTTTTTTAATTAAAAAAAAAAAACTTCTGGAAAACCCCCAGGAAAAAAGAAGCCTCGTCGTCCTTCTTCTCCTTCTACATCTTCTTCCACATTCTAATCATTATCTTCATTGGGTGGAAAACCAGGCGAGCATATCCTCCGTCACGCGCTGACTCGTGAGAGACACGCGCTCATCCTCCACCAGCGGTTCCCGACAAAGCGGGCAGTCGAACTTGAGCTGATCAAGCCAGCCGTCGAAACAGTGCTTGTGGAAGACGTGCCGGCAGGCTAACGTGCGCACCCGGTCGCCGTCCTGGAACCGGTTCAGGCAAAAAACGCAATCCGTCATGCCGGACCGGCAACCGCCGTCGAAGTCGTAGGAGAACATCCGATTCAGATTCAATTGTTCGGCGAGCATAATAACTCCGGTCAGGCCGGACCCGACGAGGTCGCAGAGAGCGTTGTCGTTTTGATGGCCGTCGAACGTGGCTAAAGAAAAGCCCAAGGCTTGGAAAACTAGGATGAAAATTGACCGGAGGTAACCGACGCAATTTCCGATGAGGGCCACCATGAGAATCGGTAGCGACTCGGCGGAGAAATCTGTGAGCTGATTTTGAAGTCCCATCTTCTTGGGGTGGTGTAAAGCTGTGAAAAAAATGAATTGGGGAAGTTGGGGGAAAAAGGATGAGTTGTATTTATAGTGGGGGAGGAATTTAATTTTGGGGGAATGAAGAGAAAGAAGATGAGGGGGCGGAAGCGTCTAAACTGTCACAGCCAAAATGGGTCAGACTTTGAGAGATTATAATTACTTATCAGTTTTTCTATGGAAGAGTTTTGCAAAAGAAGATTCCGTTTTAGGCGCTACTTGCAGCATAGTAAAACGAATAACATTACAATTTGTAATTTGTGAATCATATAATGTAGATAATCTTATACCCTTTTAGTCTCAAAATTATTGTTTTGTTTGAATTTTCACTTTTAGAACAATTTAAATTAAAAAATTCTATCCGAGGAGACCCCACTTAAATATAAGTAAAACTCCTATTACAAACACCTTGGTGAGAATCGAATGGAACCTGATCTATTACTAAAAAAAATAACAACCTAATCACGAGACTATTATTCAATTCTCTTTCATTAAACGTTTTCATTCGCACCAAGTAAAACAAAGTTTATTATTATCGCATGAATTCGCTCGATAATGTTATTTGCTGGCCAATCTATTGTTTTAAGTGTATTTCTTGAAAGCGAAATAATCTAGAAAGAGTTTTGGTAAACCTCTAAAATTTTCTAATACTGAATTTACGTTTTCATTTTACCTAATCAATAAGTCAATTCAAATTTTTTTTCCCCTTTTTGATATGGTAATAAAGAGAGTTTAATGTGTGAATTGTCATTTTGAGTTTTGAGGAAAAGAAACGAAAGAAGTACAATATTTGCTGATTCCTTATGGATTTCATTCACGTAGATTCAACCTATGAGTTAGGGATATACTACTCCATGATAGAATTTTGTATTGCGTGACAACTTCAAATTTGAAACTGCTTTTCTTATGTTGAGCATTATTTGGCGCACTACTCCAAGAGTTTAGAGTGTTCTCATATTTGTTGCGTGTATCATAGTAGAAAACTATAAATAGTTAACTTGCAAATTAAAACTAATTTAATAATAATTTTGTCGTGTTATTATAAAGACAAAAGCACCGATTACATTTACAATTTTTATTAGAACATGATGGCCATGCCAATCTCTACTATTCTTCTTCTTCTTCTTGTCGGAGATTGGCTTTGCGGTGACAATCTTTTTTGTAATATTTCTTTCATTTTTTTTCAAATTTTTAGTAGTAGGGAGATATAAAATCTTATACTATTTATTAAAAGATAATTTTCATATTTATTATCTTAAAATAAAAAAAATCGCTGAATAATCATTTTAGAATAAAAACAGTATACATTATTGCGACCATTGTTGTTAGAAATAGAGGTGATATCAGTATCTTTGATGCACTTGACTGGAGCGGCCATATCACAATTGATCGTGATTACATTTCATAGCTGCTCGTCAAAGCAACAATAGCCCGATTGAAAGCACATAATTTAATAGCATAATACTCTCTCCTTCTCAGAAAAATTCTTCACGCTAAGTATTGAAAATTGTACAAAAAATAATATTAATATTAAAACTTTGTCATAGAGTTTTTTTTTTTTTTTTTGAACAGAAAGAATAACAAAAGAAGAATCAGATCATGCTTATAACCTAGTCGTTGAACTGGTGTCTAGCTCAACCATACGAAGATACGACAAGAACTCGTCCTTATAACTTGGCGAAAAGTGTTAGTTACAATTGTTGATGATTTTTTTTAAAAAATAAAAAATAAAATAAAAATTGTTGATGATGAATATAAAGTGAGATGAAAAAAAAGAAGAAAACTATTAAAATAGGAGCAAAACACAAAGCAATGTACATATGTAATGTTGGTTAGACTAATGTAACATATTATTAAAAAAATAATAAAAAATATCTAGATATTTTGCACCTTTTTTCTTGCGTAAGCCACATAGACTGACGCAAAGTGTCCATGTAGGAGTCCTTTGCTCCTAAGAAAGATTGGGTCGCCAAAAAAATTTAAAAGAATTGATGCGGACAAAATAAATTTATTTTAATTTTAGCGTATATAAATAGTTGTTTTGGATTTGACAAATTCGAGAGTCTAATTAATCGGACTTTTGGATTTGTCAAATCCGAAATAATAAAAAATAATAAAATATTAATTTTTTTATTTAAAAAATGTGTACAGTAAACTCGGATTTCCATTCTCCAACATATTTTTTCTAAAAAAAATTGAAGGGCGGAAAAATTTAAAATTTTATTTATGGTGGGAAAGTTTGAAAATTTAATAAATGAACAATGCAATTGGATTTCGGAAATCCGAACTGCCTTTTTTTAAAAAAAAATCTTTTAGTGCGAAAAACTTTAAAATTTTGAGTTTTGATCAGAATTCGCATTAAATTGACATATCCACTTTTAAAAAAATATAAAATGAAAAATATTGTATTAGATAATATTAATAAAATTTTGTATTACTAATAATTTATAGAAATTTACATTAAATTGATGAAAAATATATATTACTAATATTACATAGTATTAAAATTGATAGGAATTTAAATTAAATTAATATTCAGAATAATTGATGAAAAATATATATTACTGGTGTTACATAGTGTAATGTACTATTTGTACGTACGAGTATTATGTAGTACATTAATACTATTACCCACTCTACATTACTGGTACTAGTATTACTTATTACTGTTAAATTTGTTAGTCATTAGATACTATCATTAATTCGGTATAATTCATGTGTACTAGTGTTATGTGCTTTTTATACGTACTTGTATTATGTAGTATATTAATACAATTACCCACTATATATCACCGGTATTAGTGTTACTTATAACTGTTAAATCTGTTAATCATTAGATATTATTATTAATACAATATAATTCATATGTACTAGTGTTATGTACTTTTTAAGCAAATAATCGAATTTCTAGAATTAGAGTTAAAAAAAATTAGATTTTCAAAATCAGGCCATAGGGTTTAGTTTCGGATTTCTCAAATCTGAGTTTATCTCAAACTCGGATTACGAGAATCCGAGATGCGAAATCCGAGTTTAGCTTAAACTTGGATTTCGAAAATCCGACATTTAGGGTTTAGGGTTTAGTTACGGATTTCCCAAATCCGATTTTAGTTTAAACTCGGATTTAACTAAAAATTAGTTTTTTAATATCTGATTTAGTTCAAAACGTTAGATTTTAGGGTTTAGTGTTTTGTTCAATGTGCCTTGTGTGGGTATGAGCACCACCCGGGTGAACGCAAATCTGAAAGTTGCCATTTTCTAAACAACTCGTATTTCTCAAATCCGAGAGTAAGTACAAAAGGACTCGGATTACCGAAATCCGAGTCTCCTTCTTTTTATTTTTAACACTTAGATTTTTTTTTTCTAAAACTTAAAAATAATTTTTTATTATAAACTTTCGAATTTCCGAAATCCGAATTTTCATGTTTCGGATTAGACTAATCCGTTTATAGTCAATTTTTGTTTTTGAACACTTAGATTTTTTTTTCAAAAAATAAATATTTTTTTATTACCGACTCTCGGATTTGCAAAATCCGATTCTTGATTAGTTTAAATTAATCTTTTTTATTTAATTTAAGTAATTCTAGGTTACTAAAGTCTCGGATTACACTAATCCGAGTTTCGGTGGTCTCGAATTTGCAAAATCCGACTCTTGATTAGTTTAAATTAATCTTTTTATTTAATTTAAGTAATTTTAGGTTACTAAAGTCTCGGATTATACTAATCCGAGTTTTGGTGGTCTCGGATTTGCGAAATCCGACTGTACGGTAGTCTCGGATTTGGCAAGTCGAGAGAACTAGTATTGTTCGCCTAATTTAGATCCATATTATTTTTGTCAACGGATTTTTTTAAATAATTTTTTGGGTAAAAAACTCAAAAAAATTCCAATTAATTCCTTTTCTACTGGACACCAAATCTAGTAACTAGAGCCTCCATTTAATTTCCTGCATCAGTTTTTACTAGACTGCACTATTTCCCATTTTTCTTCACTTTGAAGGTTCTTGATTAAGTCACACATTGTTGGAGCAAATTTGGTTGGAGGGAAATCATACTTTGCGGAAATGAAATGAATTTTCTACTTTACCAAATAAAAACGCCAATTAACTTAGGAAAAGATCGTCCAACACGAGTTGGTGTATTGATATGAAAACAAAATTCTAAAATCTTTTGATACTTTGTTTTGAGAGTATTGTACTGCGAGATTAAAATAATAATTCAACAACTCAAGAATAGATGGACTGCATGTCCCACCCTAACTTTGTTTTATGGCGAGATACAAAATACATAAGAATGTCACATTCTCTTTATTTGCTAGAAAGAAAGCATATGAAAATTTAAAACGTCAAATTAACAACTGCGGATGAGAATACTGACTACATCGTATTTTAATTACAATTTAAATTTTTGTTAATGGGTCAATGATGCGCGAAGATCGAATTTTTTAACTATAAAATAAACGTAAATACGCTTTTACCATGTCCCTAATAATCCTCCTCAAGCCCTTCATTTCCAAGAATATTTGAAGTGGGTAAAATGAGGCAATACTTTTAGGTTCGACTGGAGTCCCTCATTGGATGGCCAGATACACATCATTTCGGGAATGATCTGAATACGTGTACAGTCTAACTTACACTTGGAAGCCGGAGGATGACTGGGGCGATCCTTGCTTCCTTGTAGATTCTCCAAATGTTGAAATATGGCAGCATTGTATCTCCGTTGAATGTCCCCTTCTCATTGGGTTTTCCAGTATATCCATCACTCATCATCATCACCATCATGTAGAGTTTAAACTTTTTGGGGCAATATTTTCAGTAGTTGCTACTAATTTGGGTATATTGGATCCCAGAAATGAGGATAATCATCATCCTCTGTGTGTAGCTTAATTTATTGGTTTTATAGATTTAAGGCATGCATACGTGATAACTTGCAGTCTAACAGATTTTCTTAAATTATATTTTCACAATTTTGATATGCGTGTGTTTGTTTTCTCTCTTATAGGTTTTAGGTTTATTCATCACCTTTTAATTTAGTTGCATCTAAAAGGTTAGAAAACACATTACTTGTGTTTGAATAGTGTTATATATATATAGAAATATTCTTAACACACTCGTGATATAGAAAGTTCTTAAGTTATAAAGATTTCTTCCCACAAAAAATAGGACATAAGTTTCTGCTTATATTACTAACTTTGTGCCCCACGTATAAATCTTTATCCATTAGGGCTATATATTGTTTGTTAGGGTTTTAGCTAGAAAGGCCTTCCATTTTGGCTAAGCAATTTTAACCTTTTAAGATCTAGTCTAGTTATTAAAATCCTAACACTAGTTGATTAGCATGATGGAGAAAAACAATGCAAGATAAATAAAAACATGTACAAATTTTAATGAGCATAAAAAAAGTGTGCCAGATAACATAAAAGCGTCACAGAAAATCTTACGTGTTTCTTGAAGAAAAGTGTAACAAGTTACTTGTTACTGCTACATGTTGTCATTGTTAGTAAATGGTGGTAAGCAGGTAAGAAGCTTAAGGCTCTGTTTGTTTAGTTTTTTTGGATGGTTTTTTCAGATTATTTTAATAGTAACTGTTCTATTTTAACATATCTTTTTAGGTTTTCAATACATTTTTTTACATTTCCAATACAATAAACACTTAAAAACACACATTCAAAAAAAACCCGAAACAAACATACCCTAAGAAAAAAGATAGCACTTGATTAGTTAGATAGGTAAATGATTAATAATAAAAAACGATTAAAGAGATTAGAAAAGCGCGTTAGGCCGGTGGAAGATTAGACTTATAGATAAGATGATTAGGCTTCTATATACAGTATATACTGCATACAATAATTACAATAATACAGAAAACCCAGAAACTGATCAGCCATATGATATCTCTGACCAAAAAGATTTGCCCCGCGATCTTAGACAACTTGAGCCTAAAACTACCAACATTAATCACCAAACCGAACAAACCAGTACTTATTTTAATACTGTATTCTTTTCTTAATACTTCTTCCTTTTAGTAAAAAGTTCAATCATTATTATTATTATTATTTGAAAAAGAGGGAATTTGATGAGTAAATAATACTCTTGCATAAATCAGAACCGTTTACTTAGATTTGCAAATCCACCGACCACGCTCCTATGGTCCAATCAAAATTCTTCTATTCAGACGCCAACAATTCTAAAGAAGTGACAATTTGATGTTGATTTTTTTTTTTTCCGGGTGTGTGTGGTATTTGCCAGCTGAAGGTGTTTTGATGGGTACGTGAACCATATCACACATATTTCGACATCCTTTTGTACACCCTTCTTCGATGTTGTATACCAGATTAGGTCCTTTTTCTTTTTTTTTTATTTTTTTTTTGTTTTAATATTACAGGATCTACAAGATTACAAGAAGAAGTAATTTATTATTGATTTACTATTAATTCTCGAAACGCAATCATTTTGTATGGGGTCGAAGTACTAATTAAGATGAATGATTATAGCCACCAGAGATTATATGTTCAAATTGGATAGGAAAATAGTTGTGGCCAGGGTTTACAAGGTCGTATTGTTAACTTTTACGAGATTAAAAAAACAAAAAAGATTACGTATTGGTATTTTGCTCAAAGCGAAATAGGAGAACATTCTAAGAAGGTTTCATAAAAGTAAGAAGTCTTCAAGGTTTGAGGTCCTTAATTATTAGAACAATCGAGATAGAATTCGTAGTGGGTGATGGTGACAATCATGACCCATTTTCGAAGATGGCGTATTGACGTGCACTTAATTATGTACCTACTATATTTTTCACAACTAAATTAATTTAACTTTTTTTTTATTAAAAAAAGACACTTATCCCGCAATTAGTATATTTATCCCTACGCATGGGACTATTGGATCCTAATAACTATTGAATTTCGGTACATTGGCATGTACTGTGTATTATACTCCATTTATGTGAAAACAGTACTAGACTTGAAGAAATAAAACCCCAAGTCTAGCGGTTAAGGTTTTCTCATACTTCGAAAACATAAAAAGGTTCGATTCACAATTATATCTTTCTTATATGAAAAAAATTTAAAATCGATCGTAACAGACTGATTAAGTAGGTAAGGCTTTGTTTGTTTAGTTTTTCTTTATTATTTTTTTAGATTAATAAAATAATAACTATCCCATCTAAACATACCTTTTTACATTTTTAATACACTGTTTTACATTTATAATACAAAAAATATCTAAAAACACACACTAAAAAAACGAAACAAACATATCCTAAGTGATTTTCTTTTTTCTTTGGAGTACCCAAGAGCAAGAGACACGTGTGCCCAGTCTGAATTGCCATAATCTCTTCCTATAAATAATACTCCTTCTGTTCCCAAAAAAATAGTCCACATTGATATTTGAGTTTTGTATTATTTTTAGTATAAATTTGGAAACTCAATGTAAATTATTTTTGTGGGATGGAAGTAGTATGTAATACTCCTAAAGTAACATAATTCGATAGCATATACAAACCTGGGAAGGGAAGCAGAGGCCAAATCTTCCTTAAAATACAAAGTCTAGCTATTCACCTTAACTGGGTCTTTTACTACTACTACTGCAGCCAAAAGGCCATCGGAGTTCAGAAAGTGACATCATTATTTCTCAATTTTATACAGCCCAATGGCTGTGGCAGTTCAATTAGTGGAAATCTTATATGGGGATTTGTTTCCGGTCCCAACAAGAAAATCCTCCCAAGTGCCTGGCACTGGTAGCGTGGCAATTTCCCCTTTTCAATGAGATATATTACCACCACCGCAACTACGACCAACATGAAAGGTCCTTAACCGAATGTGTAAAAGTGAGATGCCCATCAGAAGAAATTAAGGAGATCCAGAGCTCTGTCACGGCCTGAATTGTGCGTATCTCGTTTGCAGTCATCCAAACTATAAGGCACGATGTGGATAGATTTCTTGGTTTTCAACTATGGTGTACAAATGCATTATTGTTGTTAACATTGAAAATTGAAATGAACCATCAATTTTACCAGCTAAAACTCGTAGCATTCATTAAAGATTTACTATTACAATCACCTTAACCCCTTACTTGCAATCATGCATGAGGACACAAGTTGGCCACAATCAAACGTACAAAACCTTTGACTCGCCATAAAATTCATCAAACTTGCTATACGAAAAGAAAAAACGTTTTGCTCCACAGGTGGTTTTGCAAATGCAGGGCCTGTTGGCCAAAATTCTTACCATAAAACTACAAGTAAGAATCATGGCTTGCAAAAATGCAGCGCATAACGTATACATGCAAGAATTTACTCATGCAAGAATTTTTGCCAACAGGTCCTGCTCCTGCAGAGATGTGTGAGGTATCACAGGGTTTGCAAACTATGTCAGGTTGCAAAACGCACTTGCCGAAGCAGGCAGCCCGTGCAACACTTGAAGACATGCAACCTGAAACTTCAATAGCACTCTTTCAAGCAGGATAGCTTCATTCACAATTCAGAGTCTAAATGGTAACACAAAATGCAAGTTAAACAATAAGCCCATCTTCAATGCACCTTATATCACCTACTTAATTTAAATGTACAACTACCATCCTAACAAAAGGGTCGAGTACATGCATCTTCAGCTTCTCTACACAACTATCAGCATGAAATTGCTTCTGTAATGAGGATGACCTGAGCTATAAATTACAGACATACAGGATAACAAGAAAAAGTACTGCACAGCTCAGAAGCAACTTCTCTCTTTCCCTCAGTATATGGAGAACTTATGACATGCCGTCAAGCAGCTGTTTCTCGTGCCTCTCTTCTAAGAAGCTCCTGCAGCCAGAAAATACATGTAACAAATTATAACCAACTAAGCCTATATCCAACTATACAGCGCCAGCAGTCTAGTTCATGCGTCGGAACCGTGCTTACTAGAAACATACAATTTCAAACTATCCATTGAAAAGAAAATAAAAGGCAATTTCATTTCTTTACATTTGAATGTACTGACTAACATGCAAGCCATGTTCAGATAAATTAAGCCACAGGAAAACAACATTACAATGTTAACACCGGGCATTACCAATCTAGTGGCTTGAACAGACAAACGCTGCCTCTCCCTCTTCTCTTTTTGACACTCAGCACACCAAGATGAGCAATCCTTATGGTACTTCCTCAGCTCTCTGAATGTGGAACTGTGGTGGAGGGAAAATTGAGTATCAGATAAATACAAGATGATAGAGAAGTAATTACTGCTTCAAAACCAATAGAATCATGCAAATGCCAATCTAGATAGCATTGCTTTTGTTATCAGCATCAGCACATCTTTGAGTGTAATGCATAACGGCATTAGAAACTTTTCACCAAATACTGGCCATCACTTCAGACATACCAAACAAATTCCTCTTACGGACCAGGGAAGAGAACTATGTTCAAAGTGTTTAGAAGGTTAATGAAATTACCTTCTACACCAGAGCAATAAATTAATGCGGTTCCCAGATGTTGTCGCTCGGGCACCATGTCGATGGCGGCCACGATGAAGAATAGCACACCCCGGGACATGTGAGTAATCAAAGGATTCCTGCATGTAGACATAGAAGTTATTTCCAGACGTTAACCAACACATTCATGATTTAGATTAAAGAAACTAATCTGCTAAAATATGAACTCAATGAAGTATGACAAGCAGAATATGATTCTTTCATATTTCACATTACAGCAAGGCAAACAAAAATGAAGAAGAGCAGAGTATACAGACACTGGTCTGATCAGCACTAGCACATTTTAGAACATGATTTCAGCAACCAACATGCCTTTCGGCAGTTTGCTGCTTTTTCCAAGTTCTAGATCTGCAGTCAATCCTTCAGTCCAGCTAATATGTTCTTTTCGGTAGTAATTGGCAAAATAAATCTTCCTTTTATATAAATTTCACTTTCCTATTCTATATTATGACGAGTCTAATAGTAGACTCGATGGACTATTCACGAAGCCACACTGTGATAGAAAAAGAATCCACAACTTTCAACTAGTATGGATGGTTCATTCTAAAGCACAAAGATAAGGAATGTTTAATTTAGCATCTTATATTGTTTTAGCCATAATGTTCAGCATCTTCGTATATTTTGGAAAAGTAATGACAAATACCAACAGAGAGAAGAGCGTATTGGGTTGGGGAAAAACCAAGATCAAGGAATCACTCACATGAGGCTGGGTTTCAGTGTTCACATGTTTTTCACACCTTACACCACGGAAGAACAATTCTCCACCGCTGAATTGTTTTCCCAAGCATACATTCAGCGTAACTTCTGAGTCATCCACATGAAAACCTGTAATGAAAGCTCCAGAATGTCAGACAAAAATAACTCTGACGTGTGCTTAAAGGGATCATAACTATGCTCCTGTCTATGGTGAATAAATCAAGTGATATTCAACAAAAGAGTTGAGCATTTACAAATCATCAATGACCATAGAGCAGGAATGGAAATTTCTTTCATACATAGTCCAAGCACAATGTCTGCTTAGAAATTGAAAGATGTTCTTCATATAAAGAATATTCTTCTTTGCACAAGCACGCATCGGGGTAACAAGATATACGTAGTCATAACCATAATCAATCTTGGCTCCTCAAAACATATACCAAAAGAAAAGAAAACATAACTAAAAGCTGCACATTGGAAAATAAAGCTTAAATGTGATGAATAGCAGATCAAACCCTTACTAAAAGAAGTAGACTTGACACAATTGTACCTTAAAAGTGCTAGATCTGCCATTGCATCAGCAATTACTGTCAGTTAAAATTTGAGCTCAAAAAAAATATTCTTATTTAACACCAGATTAGCGAAGATCTTATACAAGATCAAACATAAGATAGTCAAATGCATATTGTCGATTGAAAATCCCAAACAAAGCCCAGATGGCAACAGTTTTTTTTGGGTTTTAAAACAGCCATAAAAAAAATAAAACATAAAAAAAAAACAATGTAATTTTCTACTTTATTATCGAGTTGGAGTATCTTACAAATTTGTCAAAGTTATTGCCAGCTTTGAAAAATTTGGTGTGCAGAATAAGAAAATAGCGAACAATAATCAGAAAAGTCGGGATGTGATAGCCTACCCAGATCAACATCTCTTTCCATTCCATACTCAACCACAAATCCATGATGTGTATCAAGTGAGGACCCGCCAACTTCAGGAAAGAACACTGCACGATGAAACATAGCTATTATTTTTTACTCACAGAGTCGGTTTCTAATTTGTTCTAACATAATAGAGTTACTTGGAGAAAGGGACATACCTCTCGACATTGGGCGTACAAATTCTTCCATCAGTTTGTCAAGCATCGTTTCCAGTCCAAAGTCATCAAGAACAGCACCATACCTGTTCATAGTATTGGGCCGCATGATTCTAAATTTCGTTTCATGTACCCACTTCTCGAAATTTTCTACCTATGCAATCAAATGTTATCAGAAAAGAAGCAGCTAAAATAAGAAAGAAAGAAAGAAAGAAAGAAGCCTTCATTTTAGACAGAAATGCACTAAACGAACCTCGGCCAACAACATTTCACAAAAGCGAGGCTGCAGCATTTCAAATGCAAAAATTCCAGGAGATGGTTCACGCATTATATTTCTAAAACTCTGCTCTGTGTTCTCACTCACAGCATTCAGAAATGAAGGAACAAAGAAATTCGTCGCATGCATGGTGTACAGATCCCTGTGGAGTGGCTACAAAAGGCAACTAAAATTTAGCAAAGGGATAAATATACATAAAGCAAATAAACAAAATGCAACCAGAAGATTATTCTGTTCACAAATCCCTGGGACATCTTTCCCCTGATACAAATGTCATTTAGCAATCACAAATCCAGAAAAGATAAAGATTAAGGGCTGAATTTGACATTCATCAATGACATCTCTAAACTACTTATTGAGAATCAAAAGATCTGTCTAAATACGACATCGCGTAAATACGTCCAAGTTACTTGTAACTCCAGAAAAAAAAAAACATTAAACAAAATAATTGTTGTTCCAAACAAGACACGAAGTTTCCACTTGAAAACTAAGCTATCTTCCTTCTGATTCCATGAGGATAAACAAAAGCAGGAACTCTAGAATCTTTAAGATGCCATTTTAGAGAGAACTCATACAGATCATCGCAACTTGTAAACAATCGAACAATTCTATTAGCATGTTATATTGTCTTTTATAATATTCAATGAACTCATGCATTGAAAAATTAGTATGGAAAAACTCAATTTGATATAACAAATCCGACCTATAGTTTCCAGAGAAACAAACCTGATAGTTTGATATAATCTTTTGCCTGTATTCCCGGTGTTTCTGAACCTGTTCAAATGAAGCAGATAAAAAAAATTAAGAATTGTTTGGACAGAAAATTACAGAACAAGAAACTTCTATCAAACAAATACAACAAAGAAGCCTAGAGTCAACATTTTTATGTTTGTTTTATATTTGATGATCTAACACTTTATTTGATCAAACCATTGCTGGTCATATTCGGTTGTCTAATAAAAATTCATGGGGTGTGACACAATTGCCGCTCCACTTCCCAGGTAGAAAAATAAAACTTATGGCCTTGCCACTGATATTTCATCAAAATCCTGATAATACCCTACAGCAAATCTATCAAAATTTTATTTCTTAACAAAAACCACCATTATTAATTAACATTGAATAAAAGGGAAGATAAACATAAAAACTACAGAGATTCTCTGTGACATTGAACTCCATCCATCCAGCACAACATGTCAAGCAGTCAAGGGAATAACAGAGCATAAACCACAATGTTAACTGTAATCCTACAGCACATAATACAATATGCACGTAATTTAACAGCAGAGCATGAGACACATCGTCAAATATGAGAAATACTAGAGCATCTGGGTAATAAACGGTCAACAGCCCAGAATCTTCGTACTTTCTGTCTTCACCATAGGATAACTATCATTTTAAATATCCACAGAATTAGCAATGCAATAAGCCCTAACAAAATTGTAACTTTTGCTACTCTTCTCCCGGTTCAAAGGAAACAATGACATTTTCCAAGTAAAGTTAAATTCAAAAATCACAGAAAAACCTATCCCAACTCTTCACATCTTATACAAACCTTAAGCGAATAAAAACACATGAAAAAAAAGAGAATTTGTGTCCAGAATTGAATATTCTCACCCTGATTTAAGTTGATCTGTTTCTTTTAATTGGTAGCACAAACCAGAATTATAACAAGAGGAGCACAAAACTGCAGTCTTTAATCATATACCATAGCACTATCAAAAACCGTCACTGTTCCATCTAGGCATTGTTTTTATGCCGTTAACTTACTTAAAAATAGAGATACGGTTTTCACGTTTTATACACGTGTCCTTTTCCACCGTTAAAACAGGCATAGTGCGTAAAAATTTAACCCCCCAAAAAAAAGAATCCACGTAACAACAGTCTTCTAACACCAGACAAACAAAGCCACGCAAGCCCTTGCCCTCAATTCACTACCCATCAACTGTAATCTCCCAATTTGTAAACATTTACAATAAGATTAATGCAAAATCAGGGGAAACCCCTGATTTACTTACCATCCCTAATTCAAATTCACTGCGCTTAACCCCAATTTACTCATTTGAAATGAGCCCAAGGTGGTTCAGAGATGGAAACGGAAAAGGAAAAACATGCATGTAAACATGTATTCAGATAAGATGGCTTACACGGGTACGGTCAGAGTCGGTGGAGTACCGCTGGAGGATCTCACGCATGTAATTAACTTTGGCCTCTCGAGACGAATTCAGGAGAGATGGAGGCAGATACCTTTCCAAGGAGCTAAAAAGCAAAGGACTGAACTCCAATGGCAAGTCCTCGTAATTATCCGGCTGGTGATCGGCGACAGGGTTCAGCCGCAACCGTTGGGTATTATTGTAAACAGGGTATAGCTGCGATGGCGGTGGAGGTGGCGGCATTAGCGCTCCGTTACCATTCCGGTTGCCCCGATCAATCCTGCTGGCGCTGTTGGCATTCACATTCCTCAATTCAGTCACCGGAGGAGTGCCTGAAGCCGTGATTCCCAGAATTTGAGGCTCGGCTCTTCGATTCACCCCCGCTGCGGCAGCTGTCGTCGAAGCCGAAGCCGTAGCCGTAGCCGGAGCAGAGCCGGATGCTGTTGCCGCTGCCGCGTCTTGAGACATTCCCAAATTTGTGATTTCCCGGGGGAGGTTTCTTTTGAGTCGTTTGCAATTGTACGGTGGGTATGGCGGGGCTGGTGAGGAACAATGTGAGATTAAAATTAGGTATTAGAGGAGCATTTTCGAAGCTGGGAAATTAGGGTTAGGGTTAGGGAATCGGGGAAAATTTTACCGTTTCAGGTTGGGATTTTGATGGTAGGGTGTGATGATGGGGATGAAGAAGGAGAAAGGTTAGGGTTTGTTTTCTAGTAAACAATGCTGACGTGTTTTTCTGTGGATATCTTCATTTCCTTTCGTTTTTTTTTAATTGGTTTCGTATTTATACCGTGGTCATCGAGGAAAAGATAAAAGAGACAAACATTACAAGGGGTCAATATTTAAAAAAAAAAAAAAAAAACGCGGCAAAGCAAGCACTCGTAAAAGTATATTCAAAAAATATAAAGCAAACTAAAACTTGATTTCATTTGATTTGTGTCAGATAAATAGAAGTCACGAGAATATATTGTTTATTATTAAAAAAAATTGTTTTAAGAATTTACTCGGAGGCGTGTTTGTTTGTCCAATAACTTATTTTCCGTTTTCACTCATTTTACCTCTTAAACACAAACTCAATGAAAAAAAAAAAATCATCCAAACAACTTTTTAATTTACCTTTTAAAATGTTGTGCTTGGTCATTACATTATTGTAAAGTCTTCGTTTTGGTCACTGAACTATTATAAAGTCTTCATTGCGTTTGGTTACTAAACTATTGTGAAGTGTTGCATTTGGTCACTGAACTATTATAAAGTCTTGTGTTTGGTTGTTGTACTATTGTAAAATCTTTATTTTGGTCGCTGAACTATTTTAATTTCATAAATGGTCACTATACTATAATACTTTCTAAATAAAAAACTAAACTATCTTTTAAATCTCATCTCAAATCCAAATCAAAAGTTAAAACAAAACGTTGTCCAAACGAGCACTAATAAAGATTCACGCGAAGTGATTTTGTATTGTTTTCATATTGATTTCGTGCCAAAGACGTATTGTAAATATTAAAAATACTACGTTACTGAAGAGTATGTATACTTGGGTGTTAGGAATACGTAAATATTAATTAGACATCAAAAAAACAAAATGAAAAAAAAAAAAGGGTTTACGTTGCTCTTTGCAAATGCCCTGATACTCAAAAACAATCTATTTTCATATACTAAACAAAACAATGTATATCACCATTTCATTTCAACAATTTATTTAATCATATCGTTCTAACCAAGAACATGAACCATTGAGACGAGATTAAAGGAGAGAGAGAAAAAAAAAATTGTTTTGACGACCGAAACATTGGTTTCCACAAACAAGATTAGGTTTTTGCTTTTAGTAATTATTTTTATGCGTCACAATGAACTTTTCTGGTTTTGCATGTTATTTTTTGAGGTTCTGACTTGGCGATTTGCCCTAATAACGTACTTATATCTATTCTTTTCAAAAATGTATTAACGCACTTACTCTGAATCCAATATACCCTCTTCAGAATATAATTCACTTTATACTTATTCTTAACTAAAAAGATAATCATTCAACAACTAATTTAATGTGTCAAATATATTTTATGTTCATCATTTAACGTACTCTATCCATTCTTAAATATATGTTGTTTCAATGTTTACAAATTTTTTTAAAATATTTATAATTTTATTTATGTATCGATCGAGTACGCTGGCGATATATGATACATATAACCAACCTTACTTTGTGGGAGAAGTGATTGTCATTGTTGTTATACTATCTCTATTTAGTTTCACCCGTCACTTTAGAGTTTACATAACTATTTTAAAAATAACGATTGAATTTTTAATATTTAAATGTGCTGTTTTTCTGGCACTTGATTAAAAGCATTGGAATTCTACAAAAAAATTTAAAATTAGATAGTTGTCATTAACGTATATTATTAAAGGTAGAGAGAGATAATGGTAATTTTTTTTTAAAAAAAACTGTATTTAATACTGTATTAGAAATGAAATGCGACCAAAAGAAAAATGAATTCATCCTAAAGCGACAGATAAAAGTAAGTGGAGGTAGTATAAAATTTTATAAAATTGAGACAATTTTTATAATGTATTTTCAATATTACCTTTGAATTAGAAATGTAATAATATTTAAAATGAGATTTTGATAGTTGATGATGAGTTATATGGACAATAAATGTGAATAATTTGTATTTTAAACAAATTATTTAATGTTCTATTAATATTGATAAAATTATTAAAAATACATAGATTTTGGAATGGAAGGAGTATTAGAATTATAAATGAGACTAAATTAAAATAAGTTGGTATCACTTATTAAAGATAAAGTTATAAAGTTAGTAGTCAATTTGTCTTGAAAACCTAAATGACTTGTATTTTGAAATATTATTTCCAAACACTAAACAACCTACATCTTAAAATGGAAAAGCACAAAAAAAAAAAAAAGAAGAGGGGAGACTACTATGGAAACAAACTCGAATTATAATCTAAATATCAAACGATTCATTGTAATTCACAATAATTAGGTTTGCCACCATTAGCAATAGTTTGAATTTAGTAAAATTTGATATAAATTCAAATTTTACATAAACGTCATAACATTTAATTTTTTGTTGGTCCTATTTATTTATTAATGAGTTATCTAATGTTAGTTTAAAATTGTGTCTTATAATTAAAATCAAAATATTGTAATTTGATTGCTTTCATTTTTTTTCATGTGCAATAGCTTAATAGAAAGGGGAAAATCCCGTTAAAAAATTATTGTAATGGTATATTTTGTCTAGTTATTATTATAATTGTTATTGTAATTAACCGTGTTGTTTACTTGATATGTAATACACAACAACAATAAATCTTATATTCCCTCCGGTTATTATTATAAGGCATTTTTATTTTGTCTTAGCTTTCACTTAGTATATATTTTTAATTGAACAAAATTTTAAAAATATATTTTTACATTCGTCGTATTCTCCTAATTATTATGAAATATTTTAAAGGTTTTTATTTCAATTAAAAAAGATATCATAGGTGAAATTCAAGACAAACCTAGGACAAATCAAAATACCTTATAATAAGGGCCGGAGGAGTACTTCACAAAGTAAATTTAGATATATGAATCAGATGTAGTATTAGTGATTTTTATGTTGCAATTAATCACGTTCTTGTTATTTTATGAGATGATGTAATTTCATTTAAATAAATAAAAAAAATTTACACTATAAATTGGACGATTTTCAAGTAAATACATAATAACTATAAAATGTCTGTTTTACACCATTTTGAATTATAATCTGATTTGTTCGACAAATTGATCTCGATTATTTCAATAACAAAATCATCATCACTAATAATACATTTTGTCATTTTGTGGGGGGTTGTTCCAAAGTTAAACCATTGCATCATAGCTCAGTCATAGAGCACGGTTGGTGAAGGCAGATATCAATGACGTGTTTCTGTCGTTCCCAAATAGGCAAGTTGGGATTATCAAACTTAGATGGTGACTAGTTTCATTTCATCAACCAAATTCTCTGTCTCTTTCTTTTTTTCTTTTTTTTTCTTTGGTTAAATATTAATTATATATACAAAATTCCATACATAAGAGAGGATTTTGCTAAGATATTTTCATTAAAGTTCTATTAACTTAGACATTTACATTCTTTCATTTGAGTGTACATAACAATAAAACATTATTCCTATTCCATTTGAATGTTGATAATCACGTTTTTATTTGTATAATTTAAACGTCTTCCTAAAGTCAATATCCAAACTCCTAATATCACATCTTTTTAAGCACAACATTGTCTCGACCGCGGCGATGAGTGCACTCATATACTTTTCTAAAGAGCAAAAGAAAACAAAAAACTTAATTTATTGTAATTTATGCATCTGTAATTTCATCTGTTTCTAAAGAGTAAAAAAACGTAATTTATTGTAATGTATTATGTATCTATAATCTCATCGATTTCATTTTAATAGTTCGGGGCCAAGTTTGTCACAAAAAAAAAAAAAAGAAAAAACCTAATGCTTGACGGCTGCTAGGAACCAAATTGGTATTTGGAGGCTCCGCGCCCGACTTGTCCTATACAGCCTACACTACATTTCATAAGCGGACTTCACGAGGCAACCAAAAACTACAAGAAGTCATTCTGACCAACTCCTCCCAGTCTGTTCCTATTTTTCTACTATTTCTTTAGTCCGACTCCGATTTCTCCTTCCTTTTCATCATTCGTAAAGACTATTTGGGGTTTTATATTATAATAGTAGCAAAGTAAAAAAGTACAGAGCAATTCGTCGATCATTCAGTCAATCGCGATGGCTTGCTCAAGTTTTGTGAAGCTGAATGCATCGTCTTCCTCCTGGATCGCTCAACAACCTCTCAATCAACGCCCTGGATCCGCCGCCGTTTTGCCCCCTCGCCGTGTTTCCTTTGTCAAGGCGTCCGCTTCTGGATCTTACTCCGACGAGCTCGTTAAAACCGCCGTATGCTCTCTCCCCCTTTTGTTTTGTTTTTTTTCCCCTTTCAATTTCGTAATTCCCTGATATAAGTGCTTTGCATCGTGAAGTTGTGATCTCTTTACTTTAACTTTCATGTTAATTTGATATGTCACCGGAATGTGAAAAGGATGATTATGATTCTTTTAAATTTTAATGAGTTGATGACTGTGATCGTTGGCGGAATTCTAGTTATTGGAATTAATCATCGAAGAAGATTATTGTCGGCATTTGATTCGGAACTCTGATTTTAATTTTTTAAGTACTGTGTATAAGAGAATCAAGTTTGACTTGTTTATTATGTGTTTGTTTAAAATTAATACTAGTATAAAAGAAGTTGGCTACGGAGTATGATGTTGCCAGGCTCTTTTACTGTTTCACCTAATTTCATTGACAGTAAGAAGTGATTATGAGCTCCCGGAATTCTTTTATGTCTAACTTCTTATCAATTCTAAACCCATAACGCACTTTTAGTTTCTAAAGGATTTTGACAACCTTTGAGGTATAGGAACTTTTCCTGTTGATAGGCAAAGTGCAGTCAATTTCATGTTTTTGCCCAGACTGGTTTGTTATGTTATCCATGCAGCTCTAGTGCCAGATTAATTTTCACCTGTTGATTAATTTCGTTCACGATTGTGTTCTTTGGAGTAGAAAACGGTTGCATCTCCAGGGAGGGGTATCCTTGCCATTGATGAATCAAATGCTACTTGTGGCAAGAGGCTGGCATCTATTGGTTTAGACAATACCGAGGTGAACAGACAAGCTTACAGGCAACTTTTGCTGACCACTCCTGGCCTGGGTGAATACATTTCTGGTGCTATTCTTTTCGAGGAGACACTTTACCAATCAACTACTGATGGAAAGAAATTTGTGGACTGCTTGCGTGACCAGAACATTGTACCTGGAATCAAAGTTGACAAGGTACGGTCGCTATTGTTGTTTTGAGTACATAGTTTTTCAACTGGTGATGTTCATATCTTGTCTTAATTTTCCATTTTTTTTTCTTTGATGGGCAGGGTTTGTCTCCCCTGCCAGGATCCAACAATGAGTCATGGTGTCAAGGTTTAGATGGATTGGCTTCTAGATCTGCAGAGTACTATAAGCAAGGGGCCCGATTTGCTAAGTGGTGAGCTACTCTTTTCTGTATTCCTTTAATTTTTAACGCTTGAGGCAAACCTTCAGATTCTTGAGAAAGACAGTGATCTTCCCTACCTTAATTTTTATTTCTTTAATTCTTCATATCAGGAGAACCGTTGTCAGCATCCCTTGTGGTCCTTCTGCTTTGGCTGTCAAAGAAGCTGCATGGGGCCTTGCACGCTATGCTGCAATATCTCAGGTACTCCCTTCAACTTTTACATAGCAGAAAGATAATATCTTCTTTTTATTTATGATTTTTCAGCTTAATATGTATACAGGATAATGGTCTAGTGCCTATTGTGGAACCTGAGATTCTACTTGATGGAGACCACCCAATTGAAAGGACCCTCGAAGTAGCAGAACGGGTTTGGTCAGAGGTCTTCTATTACTTGGCAGAAAACAATGTCATGTTTGAAGGAATTCTCCTCAAACCTAGCATGGTGACCCCCGGGGCCGAACACAAGGAGAAAGCTTCTCCAGAAACTATCGCCAAGTACACTCTCACCATGCTCAGGAGGAGAGTGCCTCCAGCAGTTCCTGGGATTATGGTAGAAACACCTGTCCTTTTCTCACTCCCATCGCATTCGCATTTTATATCTTTTTTTTTTTACACATTTTTTTTTTGGGGTTTGGTTTTGGGGGGTAAGGGAGGCTGATGCTGAGTCCTTTTTGGGTTATGGTATCTAATAGAAACGATTAATAGCATGATATTATGCATCGGAAACCTGCAATGGACAGAGAGAGCAGTTGTTGTTGCATAATTACTAAAATGAAATGGGACGGAAGGAAGTTAATTTGGGCTAGTTTGAGTCACAGATTGAGTTAGTTGAGTGAGAAGGATGTACCTGGGGAAAATCTCAGAAAACCCTCCATTAACAATTTTGATAATGATATGCACTACACTAGTTTAACACAGGGCAAAATTGGATTGTTGCTTTGCTGCTGATTTTATGCTTTTGAAATATCAGTTTTCCGAATTATTGGACATGAAAAATGTAAAATACTGAGAAGTTAGGCTTTTTGTCTATGCCTATTATAGACTTCTATTGTCCTGGGCATGATCGTTGAATTATTCTTTTCCCCTTTCATGTGCAAGATATCCTTGTGATCTTTTGGTATCTCTACATAAGTCATGCACCTGCATAATTGTGGTTTACTAACGGCATCCTCTTTTGTTCAGTTCTTGTCTGGTGGACAATCTGAAGTTGAAGCCACACTAAACTTGAATGCAATGAATCAAAGCCCCAACCCATGGCACGTTTCTTTCTCTTATGCAAGAGCGTTGCAAAACAGTGTGCTCAAGACATGGCAGGGACGTCCTGAGAATGCAGAAGCAGCTCAAAAGGCACTTCTGGTGCGGGCAAAAGCAAATTCCTTGGCCCAGCTTGGAAGATACACAGCTGAGGGTGAGAGTGAAGATGCTAAGAAGGGAATGTTCGTCAAAGGCTACACATACTAACTTCAGAGAGGCTTGCTGCTTGATACTCTTGGCTTGCAGTAACTGTGTAGTTCATGTTCTGTACTCGACATTTTGCTAGGTTGAACTTATGAGGAGAATCAGTAGGATAATGGCCTGTTTTACCCCCTCCCCGGGTGCCTTTTTTCTTTCTTTTTGTCGTGATAGCTAAATGTTTGAATAAGGAATGAATCTATCTAAAAAACGACCAGAGAGTGGTCATCTCAGTACTGAATTTATGAGAAATGTACGAGTTTGAACTGCTTCCCCATAATTTGCATGCATTCTGTGTTTAAGTGTTTTAACTTGGCAATCCAAGTATTTGAGATCAATGGCTCTTGCGAAAGGCAGTTTTGATTCATATGCTGCAAATGCAGAGATTTTTTTGAGTATCAGGCATAAATTTGTCAAAGGTAATCGCTGGTTTTTTATCTGAGTAATTTCAAATCCATCAAACCAAACTAGAATTTTAGAGAATTGCATATAATGCATGTCGTTGTAATAGTTTAAGTATTTTTCATTAATATGAATGTACCTTTCTGAAAAAAAAAAAAAGGAATTTTCTAAGCTTCGTAATATATAGACCACTAAATAAATAGTACTCCCATGCTTGAAACGGCTATTGAACTCGGAACGGGAATATTCAGCAGTTCAATTAAGCACCCTGTTGGCTCGTCGTATTCCGTCGAGAAAGATCAGACAAACCAGATTGTGTGTTCAGTAGTGATAGCTGACCAGTGAAGTGACTCAGAAAAAGGTAACCCAACATCAAACCGGCGTGGGAAAACAAGATAATCGACGTTTAACCGAACCGCTTCTCCGCTTAACCCAAACCCCCATTAAATCCTGCCGGACATATTAAAAAACCAACCAAAACCGCTCTCTGCTTTCCGGCAACCGTCTCCGTCCCCGTCTTTGTTGCAGGCGCTGCCACCTATTACAGTAACCATCGTGCATGATCCTCTCTTCTTTGCTATTATTTCCGTACAGTTTAAACCTTACAATCCTCAAACCCCCTATATTACTTTCTCCGCCGGTGAAAATGAAGGACCGGCCGCCGTCTTCGTACGGCGCCGTTTATGTTCCTCCACATAACCGCTTACGCTCCCTCATTACCGGTGCCAGCATTAATTCTGCTTCTCCTCCACATTTTGCTGATCCCAAGCCAGCTTTAAGTGCTACTAAACAGCAGAGCTCAGTTGTCAGTCCTAGAGACGCTCATTTAACTCACCATTCTAGGAAGAAAAGCTCAATCGATGAATTGTCATCCCAAGGCTCTGATCGAGACGTTGAACTTTCTGTTCATTCGGTACGCCTATTTTATAGAGTTTTATGGTTTATATACTCACAGAAATATTCATTTTGTATGTTGACGGCGGCGAGTAGAGCTTATATCGTATTTCAGATTCTTGATTTCGACTTTGCATTTTGCAAGCATTCCCTCAAATTTTTGTTTTCTTTTTTGGTTGATTGTGGTGGCAATTAGTTTTCTTTACCGGAAGCAGATTTTCGAGTTTGCCGTTGTACTCGTCTAATTGGTTTCAAGTTTACTTTCGGGAATGTAATTTTTCTTTAATGGTGTTCAAGGCTACTACACATATCCTGTGCCTAAGAATGCCTTGAACGTGTATTTGTTGTATGCTGCCCTAGTATTGAGTTTTTTGCCTTGAACTAGCTCAGAAGGTTTTTGGAGTCCTGGAAAAGTAATGCAACTCACTCTAATGTGGTGCATTCGTTTTTTATGGAAAATGAACTGAAATGTGAAGCTTCTAACAGCAGCTGGGATCATATAGTGAAACCTTGCATTATCTGAAGGCATTCAAATTCTGTTCTAAAGGAAAAATAAACCTATTGGAACTTGTTCATTCCATCTTTGGCTTGGTTTCCCTTTTACTTTAGAATCTTTGGGCTGAACCACAATAACATTGTTGGATTCTGGCTTAGTTGCATAATTAATTTTACCTAGTTTTAGATTTCAAACACTCAGAACGGCAGAGATTGTGTGCATTTCCGTTGAACACACATATTGAAATGGCGTCACAGTTGGCAAAGCAACAAATTTGATCTGTTTCTGCGATATAATGATTCTTTCAAGGCTCACTTTGTATTTCAGGGTGGTTTCACCTATGATACCCTTGATGCTTGGAAATGCAAATTGCAAGCTCTTGTAAGAGATAAGAATAAGCAAGAAGTAGTTTCAAAAGAGAAGAAGGCCAGACGTGATTATGAAGATATAGCTGCTATGGCAAGTGAAATGGGTTTATATAGGTAACTGAACATTATGTGGGACTGTTCAGCTGTCTCTTGGTGTACATTTAGAAATTATTCTGACATTATTTCCGTTACAGCCAGCTGTATGGAAAAGTAGTTGTTGTGAGCAAGGCTCCACTCCCAAACTACAGGTTTGATCTAGATGAAAAGCGTCCACAGAGAGAGGTATGTCTACACCAATGTTATTATTTTAGTGTTTCAATTTTACGTGTAGTTTGATGGCAAACTTAGAAAACTGATGCTCTTGCATCAGAGTTGTTTTTTCATTTTCATTCGATCTTTTACGTCTTCGTTAGTAGAAAAAATCCCTCGGGTACTTTCTGGTTTACTCTCTTCTCCTTATTATCTCTACACTTGCTGAGTTGCTGAAACAAATTCATAGGTGCTCTTGCCTCCAGGGTTGCAGAAACGTGTTGATTATTATCTGGGAGAATATATTTCCCAAAAGCCTAGGGGGATGGATGCGTGGATAATACCAAGCAGTGATGGTAGTATTGCTACTGATGAGGGGCTTTTTGAACAACCGGAACCTCTCGCACCCAGTAAGGCTGCTATGGAGAAAATCACTCACAAGAGAAGCCTGAAAATGCACTCGGAGCAGGAAACTTGGCAGGTTAAGAACCTTCGAAAATCTGAAAGATGACATCTTTTTAACAACTGATGCATTTTTTACCCAACTATTTGTGGAATCGCATATTACTGTGGATTGTATGCTGTAACGGAAATATAGAGTATTTAGGATCATCTTAAAGACTATAACTGTGTGCTTGCTTTACCTGATACTTTATTGAAAAGGGATAGTGACACTAAAAGAAGTTTGTTTTTCCTTCCTCCCTTGAATGGATTCCTCTGTTATCAAGTGATGTAGCATCTAGTAGACAATTAGCTTGGCTCAAGTACAGGCACACTGGATTTTCTTCTTTACCCGATTCCTTACTCGTTAAATTATGTAGCTTTTAGGGATTGTTCCTCCCTGGATGTTGACACATCTAGCTGCATGTATTAGTTTCCCTTTCTAATTTTAAACTTGTAATATTGCTCAGTTAGCTTAATATTTGCTCTTACTTCTTATCCTTGAAGGATTTGAGTGAGAATTTTGTTTAGGAATTCCCGCGTTCTCAAAATTTTTTGGTGTTGAAATTAGAAGAATGATAAAAGCATAATTGTCAAGGTTAAAGTTACATGAAGTCTCTGTCTATAATGCTTACTTGTCTGACAAAAAATTTGTTGATGACAATTCAAATGATTCATCAGGAATTGCTAAATCTGTTTTAGTGTTTCACCCAAAGAGTTAGGTGTTAGGAAGTATCTTCTGCAGTTGATTACTTCATGTAAATTATAGCAGTGACGAGCAACTAGGTAACTAAAGTCTATTAAACTACATATCGCTGCGGAAGGCATAATTAACAAAGAACTGAAGTCACACTGCTTTAGTCGTTTTGAGGGCTTATTTGAGCACAACAAGTTTATTCTGAAATAAAGCTAGTGCGGTTGTATACATTACAACTGAAGAACCAAGAAACGGATAACATGAAACTATTGTTATTTATTCTGATGAACTGTATTTATTGGAATTTAGTGCTTGTTCATTCTTCATGTTTCAAACATAAAAGAAGAACAATGTTGTTCGTTGAGGTGAGATGTGGCCACTGCAGCATGTTGCTTTCATGCCGTTTATTCTTTAATGTGCGCTCTCAATGACCAGGAATATTTTATATCAGAAAGTTCTTTCGTGCCTAATGCAATTTTGTGCTTTCTTGTGTTTTGAAGAAATTTTCATTTCCTGTTTCATTGTGTTGTCAGAAGAGTTCCGTGTTAATTGTTGACTACTTAGTTATCACGTAAAAGTTGATTTCATTTTAGTTATACTTTTGGTTGTTTACAGGAATCTGAAGAAGGTCAGAAGATGCTGAAATTTCGCAAAAGTCTTCCAGCTTATAAGGAAAAAGATGCAATCTTAAATGCCATTTCAAATAACCAGGTACATTTGGTCTCTTGAATCGCTCTTTATTTATTTATTTTTTAATGAATGTCCACACTCTGTTAAATTCTAGTGCACAATATGTTTTACGGACCTTGCTAAGGTACCCGGGTGCATTTTAGATTTTTAGGTCTTCCGATTGCAATTAATGCTTATATGTGTAACAATTTATTGGTGCAGCAATGAGTATGGATTTTCTGTTGGATTTTGTTTGTTTTCTTGGAAGTAATATTTCCAATTTTTTTGTTGACTTTAAGTTCTCTGTTTGCTGAATGATGATTAAATATGAGAAATTATTCTGTTCTGCAATGCAAGCAAGCCATTCCCTCAATTTTTTCTTTGCACTGTAAGATCATTTCTCTCTTACCATTGACCTGCTCTTGCCCTGTGATCAACTTCTTTAATTCTTGTTGGCCTTTGTACCAAGCCGTTGCGGCTTATTTTGCGAATGGTTGTTTTGAACTGTGCCTCGTGTAAAGGAGGGGGAGGTGTTTTTCTTGACTGCTGTTTTTTGAGGAGTGAATTGGACTAATCTTCTTTCGAGTTCCTTCAAAACTTAAATAGATATATTTAGTTATTATTATTAATTTCCCTTAATAAATATTCTGCATGCACAACTATTAGTATGTGTTCTTTACCATGGGAGCCACAACTTTTTGCTTTGGAAGTTTTATTTTGCTCGCAGGTTGGACTGTTTTTCTTTTGTTACTTATAGCTTATGGATTCACGCGAGACTTTTTATATCTTAGGTCATCATAATCTCTGGTGAAACTGGTTGCGGAAAGACAACTCAGGTTCCACAATTCATTTTAGAGTCTGAGATTGATTCCGTACGTGGTGGAATGTGCAACATTATTTGCACACAGCCCCGAAAAATATCTGCCATTTCTGTTTCAGAAAGAGTTGCCACAGAAAGAGGAGAAATGCTGGGTGAAACTGTAAGTCTCATTCCATGGAGATATCCTGTGAAAATGCTGATGAAAGTTGAACTGACATTAGTGCAATCTTCATAGGTTGGATATAAAGTCAGGTTAGAAGGTGTGAGAGGGATGGATACTCGTCTGCTATTTTGCACAACTGGCATCTTGTTGAGAAGATTGTTGATTGATAAAACCTTGAAAGGCGTGACACATGTTATTGTTGATGAGGTACACGAACGCGGAATTAATGAAGGTAAAAGTTCTCTTTGTAGACATGGCGTTGATGATATCAAGTGAAATTCTGACATCTATTTGTTTTTTTGTAACAGATTTCTTGCTGATAGTTCTAAAAGATCTACTTCCCCGCCGTCCAGAACTAAGGTTAATTTTGATGAGTGCAACATTGGATGCAGATTTCTTCTCATCATACTTTTCTGGGGCACCCCTGGTTCACATTCCGGTGAGTTTATAGACAAAGTAAGAATTTTTGAGTTTTTGTATGACCCTGGTTGACTGTATGCTACCCTTTGTTCAGTTATTGTTTCTTTCATTTTCTGCAGCTTCTCTGTAATGTTTACCCATGTGTTTGTGTGCATGGGGACGCTTGTCTAATATTTGTCCATGTTGAAATCAGTATTGCTAATCCTTGGTGCTGGTAGGATGCTATAGCTGACATAGTAGTTTGACAGTCTTTCAGCAAATGGGATCGTAGCTGATTTACTTTCATCTCATTTGGAAAATTTAGTAGTAAGGATTACTGAATCAGAGCAGTATAGAGTTGAGGAAATTCCGGTTGAAGTTTAGCCAAGATTTGAAATTCTTAAAGAGGATACATAACACCCCGAATTTCTTTAAGGATGATGATATAATCTAGTGCCATGTAGATTTTGATTATTACTATCATAGCTTTTTTCCATTCCTAATCTCCTCAATTGTGAAATGTAATAGGTGACTAATGGCAGAGGTGACGAAATTAATTGGTGATCTTAGGTCGTGCTAGAATGGAGTTGTTGAAGAGGCAATGCTTAATGAAAGCTTACTGTTGCAGTTAACAGATTAGTTAAAAACTATAAGTCTTGTTGTGCCTTTTAAAGAATTGGGAAATGTGTTGATTGTTACTTTAGAATTCTCAGTCCTATTATAGCCCTTACAAGAATTTTCTAAAAGATTTATTGTCAATCCACCCCCCTCCCCAGTCCCCTTTTAAATCACCTTAGTTATGACTAATAAGCCTTCGTGTGAGATTATCGTAATGTTTCCAACCCTGGTTTATGTCTTGGACACGATCTTCAGGTCTGACAGTATGATGTGTACAAAGCCTTCGACATTAATTTTCTACAGAACTAGCATGTGGAATTGTATTCTACTGTATTTGCAGAAATTTAATGTGTGAATAAAAGCTTAAACTTTTGAAGACACTGTAGCTTTTGTTCAGTTTAGGTGAGAGAGTAAGATAACTTTGAAGGTAGAGTTTGGCCAGGTAGCAATCTTTGGGGAAGAATGCGTTAAACTCTTCTGCCTAATAGTATCCTAATTGTATGAATATATTCTGTGGTTACTAAAATTTTTGTTGTTCTCTGTCCCTTGAAATCATCTTTCTTTTGAGGAGACGCGTTATTGTTATTTCTGGTCAGCTGGAATGGATTGAACTATCTTACCTTTGTCTTCATTGAGTTGTCGGATGGCATCCTTTCCTGTTTACATTAACATTGGATTTCAGCATTCAAACTGTGATGAGTGTGGCAAATTTCATTTGTCCTGTGTAATTTGTACAAGTGTCCTTTCACATACCACATGATATATTCTCTTGGTAATATTTGTGTTCAAGGTATTGTGCTTGTTTTCATTATTGATATTGTTGCCTAAACAAATGCATGTATCAGGTTTAATGTGGTTTTTGGTTAAGATATGTTCCAATAGTTTCTGGGTTTGTCGAACCCGGGGAGGATAATTTGTGTCCAAGCGAAAATGAAGTGAAAAAAACCTTTTATGTAGGATCTTTTAATCAATTTGCTCTTGTTTTATTAAGTGATGTATTTTCTTGTGGAATTGTGGGCAACTCAGTGAAACTTGTTCGGTACTTGTGTTTTACCTAGGGCTTTACATACCCTGTACGAACTCATTTTCTGGAAAATGTTCTGGAAACGACGGGATACAGGTTAACACCACACAATCAGCTTGATGATTATGGTATAGAGAAATCATGGAAAATGAATAAGCAAGCTCCAAGAAAGCGGAAGAGCCAAATTGCGTCTGCCGTTGAGGTAGTGTGATTTGTGCTCAATTCTCTATGATCCTAAGTTGTTCATTCATTTTTTGACTGTTTTTTTGTTGGATACTCTTATCAGGATACTATCCGAGAAGCTAATTTTAATGATTATAGTCCTCAGACTCGGGAGTCCTTGTCTTGCTGGAATCCTGATTGTATCAACTTCAATCTTATAGAGAACCTTTTAGACTACATTTGCCAAAATGGTAAGCCTGGTGCTGTCCTGGTTTTCTTGACTGGCTGGGATGACATTAGTGCTTTGAAGGAAAAGCTCCAAGGACATCGTATACTGGGAGATACAAGTCGAGCTCTTCTATTAACCTGCCATGGTTCTATGGCTAGTTCAGAGCAGGTAATTGTAATTTAGCAAAAGAGTTTGTATTGGTGATTGTTATTGTATGGTCAAGTAATTGAGCATTGTTTTCCCACGATCTACCACCAATTGTCATTTGCAGCTTAGGAAAGTAGTATCATAGGTTGTTTTATATATCAACAACTTGTGACATTTCAGTTTTCATTGTGTATGAGGGTTAGGTTATGCCATTCATGGTTATGCTTGAAGATACTCTCTCATCAATATATCAATCTTGATTGATTGCAGAGGCTTATATTTGACAAGGCTGAAGATGGAGTGAGGAAAATTGTGTTAGCTACCAACATTGCGGAAACAAGTATCACAATTGATGACGTTGTGTTTGTGATTGACTGTGGAAAGGCAAAAGAGACGTCATATGATGCATTGAATAACACTCCTTGCTTGCTTCCATCCTGGATTTCCAAAGTTTTGGCCAAACAAGTACTGTATAACTATTTTCCACACAGATACTTTGTGTGTTTTTGTGCGTGTGTTAGACAGTATGGAGTTTTTTCAAGTTATCTTTAACTACAGTTACATTTTAATAATATTTTAGAGAAGAGGAAGAGCTGGGCGTGTCCAACCTGGAGAATGCTACCATCTTTATCCTAAATGTGTCTATGATGCTTTTGCCGACTATCAACTACCAGAGATATTAAGAACACCTTTGCAGTCACTTTGTTTGCAGATCAAAAGTTTAAAACTTGGTAGTATTTCTGAGTTTCTATCTAGGGCTTTGCAGGCGCCAGAATCCTTAGCGGTATATTCACAGCTGTGGATTTTATTTTTATATAGTGACTGGTCCGTCCATCTTGGGCCTTTAGAGAAGTGCCAGTTGTTTATTAAAAAAAAATATATTAGCTAATTTTTTCTTCAATTTTCTGTAGGTACAAAATGCTATTGAGCATTTGAAGGTTATTGGGGCTTTGGATGGGAATGAGAATCTGACCCCTTTAGGTAGTTTATATCACCCAGTGTTTGATCATGCACATTGATGGTGTTGGAGTTTGTCTGATATCAGTTTGCTCATTTTGTGGACAGGGCGCTACTTAACAATGCTTCCTATGGAGCCTAAACTTGGAAAGATGCTTTTACTTGGTTCCATGTTGCATTGTCTGGACCCAATACTCACTATTGTTGCCGGCCTGAGTGTTCGTGATCCATTTTTAAGTCCATTAGAGAAGAAAGATGTGAGTCAAGACTATTTCTTCATGATAAATAGTAATTGCTGTGTGAATCTTTTTCTATTACTTTTCATGTTAGTTATACAATCTTGTTTAAGCATTGAAGTGTGAAAGAATTATGCATTTAACTCTTGCTCCATATGTGATTCTTGCCTCTGTGTATTTTATGCAATCTGCGTTTTGTTCACACAGCAATGATTTTCTATTTGGTGTCTGCTTGTGATACTTTGGCAATTGATTGCATTTGGTTTTTCCGTGTTTCCAAATTTTCAATGAGGTTGTGAGTTGTGCATGCACGGGTTGAATATTCTAGGTTTCTGTATTTTTGTCAAGGTTTGTTTGAGGTATTATTTCTACTTTCCCTCTTTGATACATTTATAAGTTCAAGATCTTCTGCTTTGTGCATACTAAAGTTGATGACTGAAATCCTGTATTCTTATTCTGTGCATACATTGAAGTATTCATTAAATGAATTGTCGCTACAAATTTCTTTTGTCTTGTATCTTACAGCTAGCAGAAGCTGCAAAAGCGCAGTTTTCCCATGATTACAGTGATCACCTGGCACTTCTGCGGGCATACCAGGGGTGGAAAGATGCTGAAAGAGATTTGAATGGATATGAGTACTGCTGGAAGAACTTTCTGTCAGCTCAATCTATGAAAGCTATAGATTCTCTTAGAACGGAGTTCTACCTGTTGCTGAAGGATACAGGTCTTGTAGATAGTAACTCTGCCATTTACAATACTTGGAGCTATGATGAGCATCTTGTCAGAGCCGTCATTTGTTATGGCTTATACCCAGGAGTTTGTTCTGTTGTGGTATGACTACGTTCATGCAAGGAGTCTTTCCATTGAAATTTTATCAAATTTACCTTTAAAAGGTCGGGGGGTTTGGGAGATATTTTGACAAGATGAATTGATCGAAGCATAATGATAAGCCTACTAAAAGAATCCGGAGAGCATAATTTTGTAAGATTTGATCTTTGACTTTCTAATTTCTTGGATGTGTTTTGCAACAGCCAAATGAAAAGTCATTCTCATTGAAAACAATGGAGGACGGCCAGGTGCTTTTGCACTCTGTAAGTATCCTGTTAACTTGAATTTTCCCATTTCTTGTTTTCGTGTTGTTTCTGATCTTTAGATTTCATCTCTAGAACTCAGTAAATGCACGAAACTTCGATATAGCATTTCCATGGCTAGTTTTTAATGAGAAGATCAAGGTGAACTCTATTTTCCTTCGGGATTCAACTGCCGTGTCCGATTCGGTGCTACTCCTATTTGGTGGCAGTATCCAGAAAGGGGATGTGGTAATTTCTTTTGTTACACCTTTTAATCCTGCCTCAGCACTCTGTATCTTATCTTGAAATGAAGTTGAATGAAGGATGGATTTGTAGGAAGTTATGCTTGTGTTATCTTCTCTTTTAAATAACTTATCGTGATTTCTATTATTCTGCTTGTTGATAGGACGGGCATCTGAAAATGCGTGGAGGATACTTGGAGTTCTTCATGAGCCCTGGTCTAGCAAAAATGTATCAGAGCTTAAGGAAAGAATTTGAAGAGTTAATCCATGCTAAAGTATGTTAATCACTCCTGATTTATAATCTTTTTGCCTTTCTTAGAACTTCTGAATTCAGTTGTGTGCTTTTGATATTGTCATTTTTTGGTTTTAGATTGTAGCGTCTTCAAGTAGTGTATTTGTTAATGCTCATAAAGTTCTTTTGCAGCTCCTGCACCCCAAAATGGGCATACGCTCGCATCATGCACTCTTGTCTGCAATAAGATTGATGATTGCAGAGGATCAAGGTTGTGGTAGATTTGTATTTAATCGACAAGTAGAACAGCATCTGAAGCCACCTGTTGTAGCTGCAGTAACACCACCGAACTTGATCTCAAGGACCGACAGTGGTCCTGGAGGTGATAATTCAAAGAGCCAGCTGCAGACGTTGTTGGCTCGAGCAGGCTATGGAACACCAGTTTATAAGACTAAGCAAGAGGGCAATAGCCAGTTTCGTGCGGCTGTAGAATTCAATGGTTTGCAGATAATGGGACAACCATGCAACAACAAGAAGCAAGCAGAAAAAGATGCAGCATCTGAGGCTCTGGAGTGGCTTTTGGGACATCAGCAGAGAGATCAGGATTATATTGAACGCATGTCCATGTTCCTCAAAAAGAGCAAAAGAGATCACAGATAAAATTGATGTACCTAATTATGACTGGACTGTGATTTGCAGATTACCAGAATGATGCACATTCAAAAAGAAAAAGAAATGAAATGAAGAAAGCACATGAAGAGCCAAGCTTCTGAAGCACAGCCTTGCTCATGGCGCTGGTCTTTTACTGTTGTGTTTGTTTACGGTAACGATCATGCTGACAGAACTAAGAATGGATTGTTGCTATGAACATAGTGGAGTAGAAGTCATTAGCGGACATTACAGGAGGCTATTAAACTATTGCATGCCGTGTCGACCTGCTTAGAGGCGATGTGCTTCACTAAGAAAACCGATCAAGCACCCGAGATGATCCCGATGAAAATATGCATTATGCATAACGAGAGATTATCTGCGTAGTATTTAGCTTCTTGTAGAATCTCAGGGTTCAATCATTAGGTTTGATCCTTGTTTGTAAATAGCCCTCCGCAGCCGCCCCTTGAATTGTACATCGGAATGACATTTATTGCGACACTTATTATAGTTCGACACTTTTTTTTAATAGATACCAACACTTGCAGTGAATATGAGCTACCATTTGGATTAGTTTTAGATAAGAAGCATAAAAATGTTTAGATCTTCCGTAAGGCAGAATTATGAAAATGTGACCCGTTGAATCCGAGTGTCTAATCTAGCTATAGCGTTAGCAGTGTTGTTTGCTTCCGGACCAGTTGGATTATTGATCCACTTATTCTCCCATCCAGAAGTTCTACGTTAGTGTTCTCAAATCACATGATTTAAACCAGAAAAAAAAAGGGGGGATCGAAAGGTGTCCTCGAAGTGCGACATTGATCTGGCTGTCGGAATCATGTATAATAGATTAGGTAAAAAAAGAAAATGTAATGGTGAGAGAAATGGAATCTGACCAAAGAGATTGAGACAACTTGGGAAGCTCTGCTCCTTCTTGTCTTGAATCCTTAAAAAAAAAAAATTGTCGCATTTAGTAGTTCTAAACGTAGTTCCGCATCATTAGGCAACAATTTAGCTAGTAAGATCTGCAAATTTGCAGTGTTCTTGTCCTCTCTAATTAAGGTACTTAAACATAATCATGTAAATTACATCCATTTATGAACAACCATTATTTATATGATGAAACTGAAGGAAAAAATTATATACTATATGAATTGTCGCTTGAACCAACATATGGCAATTTGTCGTATGTTGCTGGACTTTTGGCCACAGTAGTAGTAGTTCTATGACAAAACCCAAGTGGAAATTGACCTCAGATGTTTGCAATTTCTTTAAGAATTGAATTGACAGCAAAGTTTTAGGGGACCGACCGACCGATCCCTTTTATAGAAAATTGTTTTTTTCCCCCGAGTTTATTTATAGAAAATTAAGTTAGTGGATGAGAACATAAAATTATTTACGGCCGTCCTATATTAATAATAATTCACTTTATTGACTGTTGATTAATTCAAGACTACAGGTAAAAAAATAAAAATAAATTTTGATTTGGATAAAATAATTTTATTTTTATTTTTCATGAGAACTATTACAATTTATAACAATTCCGGAAGTAGAGTAGAGTGTAGCTCACCTGGGAAGACCCCTTTTTTTTTCCCTCCCAAAGAACTCAGGATTTGTGTAAGATTGTTTAGTGGTCTGAAGGTTTACATGAGTGCGACGTTTACCCGATTTTGATCAATAAAGAAAAACTACTACAACAGTCGAGAAATATTATGCAAAATGCACAAAAAAAAAAAAAATGTAAAAGTTGGAAATGAAATCATGGAACCCTAGCTAGAAAAAAGACTCTCCTAGTCTAGCTAGTATGAGAGTATTCCCTACATGTGTGTGTATATGTATGGTCGCAGGCTAATGGTTTTTATCTTGTTGTGTTGCCTTTTGTTTTTCTCTCTGGACCATGTTGATTTAGATCGTAGATTTGTGTGATTCCCACCAAGCTCTAATATAAACCAATAAATATGGGGTTACACAAAACATATGGGGAGGCTCTGCATGGGACGGCTTGTCAGCTCCCTAAAATCCATTTATTTATTTTTATACCTTGTTTGGTCTTAGATCGCATATTTTTCTTTTGATAAATTTGCGATCAAACAAAATTGGCTGGATTAGAGACCTGTTTACTTGTAACGCATGTAAACATTTCAGGATTAAAACTACGTACATTCTATTTTTTAAAATTCCAAGTTTCAATCAATTACACATATTAGTAAGAAAGTTGTCAAATAACGATTAGTTAAAGATAGATAGATGTATATGTCATAATAATGTACGAGCTAGTTCTATGAGAAATTCGTTCAGTCACTAAACTTTCAAGATACGCATGGACACAAAACTCGATCTCACCCATTAGATTGCTTATTCTTAAAACTAAATTTTAGGACACTATTAGCCAAACAAAAGAGTTAGTCCCATTTGGTTTCCCTTGGTCACAATATAGAATTTCTCATGTGGGGGAAGGGGATGAGATTAAGATGGGTTGATGCACAAAATTGTCTCTTTATGTTGGAATCGCTCTATCTCTTTTGGTGGAGTCAATGTTGACCGTGGGTTATGGTACGTTTTTTAACAAAAAAAAAAAAACGCATAGTTTAAACAGTAGTTTAATAAATGTTTTCTGGGGTCCAACTGTAATCAAAACGTTATATGATATCCTAAAGCCGGTTCTTTATTATCTGTCCCTCTGAAATTCCAGTTTTTGGCTTTTACAAAACCTACCAATTTGGACCACTAAAGTTTACAGTTGTTTGTAATTTTCGTTATTTGAAAATATGGAAATGTATGTTAACGGCGAGACTGTTGATCTTGAAGTTGGATTAATTTAAAGATACACACAAAATTACACCCCCTATCATGAAATTATTATTCTGTTTAAATTTTTATTTTTATAACAAATTAAACCAAAAAATAAATAATCAAACTTTAAGATAATTTTGAGACAAAAAGAATAACAGTTTTACTTCTATTTCGATCTAGATTTGAACTCTGATCACGTAAATATAACTTTTTTTATTGTCACCAACCTTTTGCCATATCTAAACTTGACACTTAATCTGTTCCTTTCGGTTTCAATGAATAAAGATAGTCTCAATACAATTATTAAAACAATTAGAGTATACTTGAATTTCGGCACAAAGATTTGAGTGATCTTGGTAAATAATTTGACCAATGATTACAATGCTAATAAAGTGCATGCTTAGAAAGTTACACTGAAGAACTTCATTGATCACATAAACTAATTAGAATGTTGTGAAGCTTTGGAGAAATCAATTAATCATGCTTAAAGAGTCCAAAGAAAGTGATTAAGATTGATCATATGGAGGTCCCAAAAGAAAGAACATGCCAAAGAAGAGCATCCCATCTTTCTAAATCTTTCGTGGTGGATAAAGCAATTAAGAAATCATATCTCTATATGAACGGTTTGATCTTTAGTCATTTCATTCTAAAATATGCAGGTTCAATTTGGACTAACAATAATAGATAGTGAAAATATCAGATACCGAATATCTATTTATACGTGATGTTATTCTTGTGATTTTATTTGTCTTTATAAACTTCGGAGTGTGATTATTCAAAGATTTATGCAAGATTTCATCTCAAATGCCATATGATTACTCTGGAATGAGAAGTAGATAAACTAGAGTGGCTCCAATTCCATGCTTGGGAAGCCCTAAAAATTATGATTATTTCGGGAGGGGAGGGGACCAAAATCAAGACTAATATTTATTGGATTCTTTGGATCTCGTTTACTTTCTCTAGACTGCCATTTACATATTTGACTGTTCAAATGCATCATCTTCCTCAGAAAAATCTTATCATTTTTCAAAAAATCAATAAACATTATGATGATCGAAAAATGCATGTGCAAAATGTTTTGAAAACTCATATGATCATCCGTCATATTGGCCCTTCAACTTGAATTCATACTTCAATTTTCTCTCACATTCAAAATCACTCAATTTTGTCTCTCCTCATTTCATGTACAACAGAAACACAAAGTGATTTGACTGGAAATAGGAGATAAAGAAATTTTCCACCAGGGAGCTCCCAAGTTTTTTTATCTATCAAATTAATCAAGAATGAACCTGTCGAGTGAAGATTGGTTAAGTGTATTTCTTTAATTCATGCTGAAGTATTTCTTGACGGATTCTCTATGTTATTTAATCCTATATTTGAGAGTTTCTGGCTTCAAAACTTTTAAAGATATGCACATCAGATTAACGTAGCCAACAAAGGAGTTAGTCCCATTTTGTTTCCTTAAAGACCAATGGAGAATTCCAATTACGTCTTTTCATTTTGGAAATTAAGTGAAGATTCTTTTTTATTTTTTATCCCGCACTTATTGATTTTTTTAGAGATACTTAGACTATTTCAACATGTAGAACCTATAGGAAGGGAGTAATATTACTACAAGAGAACTTTGTTTGCGTGCGCCTCTTGTTCTGGATGTCCACTCTTCCGTGATTAATGATTGCAGGTCTCCTGTCTGTTTAAGCTACCTGCTGATCACTTACCTGTTTCTTACGCCTAACCACCAGGGCGCGACTTGTTTGCTTAAGTGTTTTATTAGCACTATATTGCATGAGGAATGTAATTGGTGCTGCATGATGATCTTCCATGTAAATTATGAATGTAATTATGCCAAACAGATAATCAAATTGCCTAAATCAATTGATACATATACATATAAAATTCAAGACTCGATCAAAGTTGCAATCATGAGGGCAGCTGTAGCTGTAGTTTGGTAGTGCCACAGCATGAGCAAAGCAGGGAGAAGATCAATCAAAGACACATCATTTGCTATTCATAAAAAAGAAAAAGAAAATCAAAAAGAAAAACAGATCATTTGCTTCATATCAGATTTTCTGTCCTTAATACATTTATAATATTAGTACACATTTATTACTAATAATGATAATACAATTTCCAATTTAAGGACATTTATGTTTCTATAGCTTAAGATAAATTTATGACCATAAACAAAAATTCCAATATTCTTTTCAATTTGTAATACTACTACACAAAATTTGGTACCAAAAGAAAAAAAGAAAGAAAAATGAAAATTCCGCACCTTCAGATTTATAAATAATAAGGTTGACCCTTTTGTTGGTTGATGCTGCATGATTAAGCGAATATGCTCCAGAAACTAAAAGGACACTAAAGCCATCTTCCTTAGTCCATGTCTCTAGATAATTGCCCACCATGACTCCAACCTTTTTTTTAGTTTTTGTTTGATGTTGAGCTTTATTTCTTTCTTTTGTTTTTGTTTATTTTTTGGGAGCTTTTTTATTTCTTTATTATGGATATGGATGTAATCTGGATAAAAGGAGAAGCTGGATAGAATTATTCTAATTGAGCTCGGGTAATTGGACAAATTTAATTTGATGGTAAATTGTCATGAGGATATTCCAGACATTTCTAAAACAAAGTCTGTAAAATATAAATGGATCGGGAGAAAATTACCTTGCGGCTTTGTTTGTTTCCTTTTTTTATGGTTGTTTCAGAATTATTAATTAATAACTGTACCATTATATCATCACATCACATTGGATGACTTCATTGTTGTCTTCTTAAATTTCTCATTTATTTTTTTTTCCTCAACTTTTGCTTGATAATTCTCCCAACCAAAAAGGTTTTTTTTTTTTTTTTAAAAAGGTTTTGATACCTTGAGTATGGAGGAAAGATTTAAACTAAAAGGTAATAATGATATTTTTTGCCCCCTTCCTTTAAGAAGTGGAGAAATTTACATCATCAGATAAAAAGCTGACTTAGCAGTGATATATATCACGAATCATCATAACCATCATCATCAAATTCATGATAAGCTAATCCCTTAAAAAATCATGCTTGGATTAAAAAAAGAGCAAGAGTCAGAAAATAGCAGTGATAGTCGCAATTAATCCGAAAAGAAAAAAACACGCACACACACACAGTCACCACCGTCCTTTTTCTCGAACTCCGTAATCCAACACAACACACACACACACACACAAACAGAGAAAGAAAAAACATTAAAACAAACACAAAACACAATCTTCAAACTTCAAATTACTCTATCTTTCTTTGACCGTCGTACACTTTTCTACAACACTCCACTTTCGGGTTTGTTAATTGGTTTTCTCTTCTCCCTCCCTCTTCTTTCTCCCTTTCTTCTTCTTCTTCTTCTTCTCCCATAAAAAAATTGAAAAAATAAAAAAGAGATTTTGGAGAAGGGGGAAAAAGAAACCCAAATAAAGGAGCGACCTTTACCTATTTATTCTCTCTCTGTGAGTTTTACTATAAATGCAAACGGCAGCCTTTCAGTACAACAATCTGATAGAGATAAAAGGGGCAGTTGTGGTTCAGACTTTCTTATTTCTATATAGCCGAATGCTAATGATTTAAAGAGACCCCTTTATGTGGTTTTCTTCATTGCTGCTGTCAAAGTTCTATGAAAGTGTACCATTTTTTTGCACGACGGATTCGATTTTGATCCATCCTACGGCCTCAAATCATTCCGTCATTTAATCCTACGGTTAGGTACCCAACTCGATTTTCCTTGTGCTGCTGGCCAAGCTGTTCTGTTCAGCGCGTTTTAGAACTCAATGCCTTTTCTGGGTTCAGCTCTGTTTCTTCGCTTTTGCTTTATGTCTACTTTTACAATTTGCTCTTATTCTTGTGCTTATATTATGTGTCGTTGAGTTTTTGAACTGTAAAGTTTTCATCTTTTCTATCAATTACGTGTGGGGTTGGCAACTTGGCAATGCTTTCTGGTGGGTTTTTTCCTTCTAGATTCCCGTTATTTTCCCGAGTTCTCCCAACTTTTGGATTGGAACTGTTACTTTTTATGTGATTTTGATCGAAATTTGTTATGGTTTCTGATCACATGCAACGAGAAGTGCCCTTCCATTATTATTGTGGGGTTTGAAGTTTGGATATTGTGCAGTAAATCGAGGGACGATAACGATTTGAATTGAATTAGAAATTGGTCGCATTACTTTGGTTGGCACTTGTTTTTCAGCTTCTTAAATGCTACTGTTCACCTATGTAATTGGACGCAATCAGGAGGGAGCTTTTTATTTTTCAGTCTTCCATGTAAACTGTTTGAAACATGTTAAAATCTGGAATGTTTTAAGTGATTCTTTACGTACTTTTGGAACTTCAAACTGAATTCAGCTCTCAAGAGTTATTTCAGTTTCCCTATGCATTGTGTATAATAATGATTTGAGATGAATTTAAGTTCTTTTTGCAGTGGTGGTGTAGTTGAGATGCAGAGTTTTTCGAGTGAGTTGAAGTTTTGTTTTGTGGGGTGTGTTTTATTGGGATTTGGATGTTACAAGGGCTGTCTTGAAAGTGATATACAATCAGGTTACAGAGCAACTGATGATAAGGCTGTTGAAGTATGGAAAGTTTACCAAATTTTTTTTTAACGCACACTTAACCTTATGATGCTAAGCCTACTTTTAACTATGTTGATGCTAAAGGGGTTTTTCATGTTCTATATTTTCTTCATGGATGTCTTTGGGGTCTATGTGTAAGTGCTGCTTCTTCTGCTTGCAACTTTTTGGGATTTTACGATCTGGTACCTGCAAGTGCTCTGTTACATTTGGAGTTTCTATGGCATTTTTTTCAAAGGGGAAAAAAGTAGTAAAGAAGTAGACAATCTGGGAAGTAGATTTTTTCTCTCTTTTCATTTGTGTGTCTGTTTGTTTTGGGGGAGGTGATTCTCAGTTTTTGTGACATAGTTTACCTATATTTTCTTATCATTTTGGTCAATGGTTGGTTATGATGATTGCATGTATGTGGAATGCTGATGATATCTCTAAGCTCTTTGTTGAGCTTCATCTGCTTGTCCAAAGTACTGAATATCATTGTCATCTTTTTCACCATGTTTGTAACATGGTGCTAATGTTTTTATGTTTGCTATTATAGTTGACCCCATGTAGTGGAATAAGTCTGTTGTTGTTATTGTTTCCTTTTACTTTTTCTTTCTCAAAACTTTCTGTGTGCATTTTTCCACAATAAGTGTTTTATATTTATGCTATTTTTCTCCTCCTCTCTGCGCCTCTCTCTCGCTTTTGTTTGGATTTGTTGCTTTGTTGGGCTCAAAAGAGCATCACAAGTTAAGCATTCTGATGCCTTTGAGTTTGTGATTGACAGTGGGTAATCTGAAGTCTCCTGGAATCTTGGCTATGTATCCTAGTGATCATAAGAGAGCTAGGAGAAAGGATAACGGGCTGAAGGAGAATGGTAATGCGAGCATATCCAGTTTTGATGAGCTGGATCCATGGACAGCTTGGGCATATAAACCTCGCACACTTACATTGCTATTTGTTGGTGCCTGCTTTCTCATGTGAGCAACCTATATTCGTATAGTAGAACAGATCAGTTTGGTCTTGGGAATTAGTTTTCGTTTTTTGTTAAATTTGTAGATGTCTTTTGGAATCTCATCTATGGTAAAATCTATTTAAGTTTTCTGCTGTAAAAATTAATTCTGAGCCTATTCTCAATTGTGACGGTCAGTCTTTGATATAGATGGTATTTTGCATGTAAAAACCTTGTGCCATAATGACATGGCACCACTTAGCACATGCTGAAAACATAATGTGGCCTGTTTCAGCTTCAAATGTTTTAGCTTAATGTGGGGTCCGTGGAGCTGAGTTGTCTGTTGATGTTCAATTTCTTTCAATCTACATGTTAATAGTTTTCCTCATTACAACCTGTACCTTTAGGTTTTGGAATCAAACAAACTTTCAGTTATGCCTTTGTTTTTATACTTGAATTGTACCCAAGATAAAAAAAAATAAAGGGTTGTAATCTGATCATCAAGGAATTGGGGAGATTTTATGGTTGAAATGTTTCTTGCGGAAACTGACATGCAAACCATAGGTCACCCCCTCCATCTCTTGATACACACGCATGCACTAACACACACTAAACCTTTTATCTTGTCTTTATAAAGTTTCTGTTATCTGCCTTGCCTTGAGATTTGACATACTGGTTATGTCTCCTGGATGGATACTTTTGTAGTTGGGCAAGTGGGGCACTGGAGCCTGAAAGCATATCAACAGAGGAGAGTGTTACATCTGTGAAAAGGTATGTCTTTGCTTTATAAGCCTTGCTATCGTGTCAACGATAATCTTTTCCAGGTTTGTATCTTTGACATACCAATTTTGCTATTTACTGTACTTGATAGGGGTGTTTGGGCAATGGTTGCAGTGTTTCTTACTTACTGCTTGCTGCAGGCTCCTGATACGTAAGTAATATACTTTCCCTCTAAGTATTGTTAGTTGAATTCCTTCAAAATCTAAATGAATGTGTGCGAAGAGATTGTCAAATGATGTCTGTACTCTGTATTTTACACTCAAAGATCACATTTGATCTGAAACAATCATATATGTCAAGGGGAATATGCTTCATAAAGAATCTAAACCTTCTTTACTAGCTAGATCATATGTCACCAAGTTGAGAGTTATTTTTGTTATAGGAAGAAAACTAGTTGTCAGTAATGCCTCAAGTAGTGGCAGCGAAATTGTTAGATATCGTTTATTGTTTTCTATATCATTCTGAGTGAAGATTTCAATTGCTTTAAAATTATAGAGTAATATTTTTTTTTCCTCATTGCTTCTTATTGTTAAAATGGATAAAACTTATTTTCAAATGAAGCAACTAGAGGTAGATGATATATCAGAAGTTCTTTACTTCTTGCTGTGGTCCCTTATGTTATCCTACGTAATTCTTTCCTCTGCAGGATACTTATTAGGCCCCACCCAGCAATTTGGCGTGTGGTCCATGGGATGGCCGTTATTTACCTTGTTGCCTTAACATTTTTGCTTTTTCAGGTATTTTTCCTCTATAATTATTGTTTTTCAACAAGTCGCCCATCTCTTGGGTACTTGTTTAAGCAAGGGATTGGGTTTTAAGAAGTTAAGCTGTAGCTAGGTTGAAATCAATTGCGAATATTGGTTTCTGTTTTCTTTAGTTGGAAACTGATTTATGGTTGTCTGTTGAAGTAACTACAAGAATGCTAGAAGTGACTGTGTATGAATAATTAGTCATGTTGCATGGAAATAAGGGGCATGAACAACTGCTGTTTATTATATCTCTATATCATTGTGTTCCCTCCATCCACCACAGTACTTGCACTTTGATTTTGTTGTTTAATAGCTACATAAACATATTTACATAGACACGGAGACACAACAATATTTGCTTTGTTCCTTATTGAAATACGTTTCTTTCTGCCACTCCAGAAGCGTGATGATGCTCGACAGTTCATGAGATATTTACATCCTGATCTTGGTGTTGGTAATAAACTACTACTTTTATCTTTCACAATTAGCATCTTCTCCTCATCCTTCTAATTTATGGAACTTTTTTGTTCCAGAACTTCCGGAGAGATCTTATGGCGCTGATTGTCGTGTATATGTACCTGAAAGTCCTACAAGGTTTAAGAATGTATATGTATGAATTCTCCCAATTCTACATAGATTTAGCATTACTGCTTTGTTTTTGTTTTTCTAGACTTTATGCAAGCTACAGAATGCAAATTTATTCCTCCAATTCTTCTTGATCCACTTTCCTCCAGGATACGCTTTTTGATGAATTTGTTTTAGCACATATTCTCGGCTGGTGGGGAAAGGCTATAATGATCCGTAATCAGCCTCTTTTATGGGTATTATCTATTGGATTCGAGCTAATGGAGGTGAGAGCCTTTTCGCTAATGTCAATGATTTCTATTTTGTTTTTAATCGGTAACATGTTTGAATCTAAACTACTTCTTTCTGTTGGTGTAACCAGCTTACTTTCCGCCACATGCTACCAAACTTTAATGAGTGCTGGTGGGACAGCATCATTCTTGATATTTTAATCTGCAATTGGTTTGGTAAGGAACTGGATTCATCTCTTTTGCTTTGTTGTTCATGTCTTATGGCGGATGCTTTTATAACTACTAACGAGTAGACAGTAGGGTTCTACTCGTTAGTAGTTTTTAAATTGTAGGGTGGTGTTTTGGTAATACTGCCTTTTGATAGAGTTCTAGTCTTTTCTTCTGAACTTAGGTTGCTTAATCTTTCAGTATTCTGTCACGGTCTTATTCATGGCCTAATGAGTCATTCTTTGTGGTTTCATTCTGTTCTTTAGGCATTTGGGCTGGAATGCGCACTGTGCGTTACTTTGATGGTAAAACATATGAGTGGGTTGGGATCAGTCGGCAGCCAAATATCATGGGTAAAGTATGTTTTTCTGTCTACGGATACTCTCTGTTCTCTGCGTTGACATTGTTTGGTAATTCTTAATGGCAATCGGATTCTTTTCCAATTTCTTCACTGTTTATTTTGGTGGCACAAAATTATTTTTTTGTCAAAAGTTTGAAGGGTAGTTCCTTCTTGTAGAACAATGCTCTTCTCAAATATTTTCCGGCTTGTATCATCTTTTCGTGGCTCCCCCTTCTGCTGCAGTTCCTTATGTTGCTGGGATTGTTGTAGCAAGGATGCGTAGCTTTCCCTCATTTATATTGATTGGGAATTGACAGGTCAAGCGAACACTGGGCCAGTTTACACCTGCCCGGTGGGACAAAGATGAATGGCACCCACTTCTTGGACCGTGGCGATTCATTCAAGTTCTGAGTCTTTGTACTGTGTTCTTGACTGTGGAGCTGAATACATTTTTCCTAAAATTTTGCCTTTGGATACCTCCTCGCAATCCTTTGGTAATCTATAGGCTGATATTGTGGTGGCTTATTGCAATACCAACCATTCGTGAATACAACTCTTATTTGCAGGACAGGTAATACACGGCTCACTACAGAAATGTTCAACTTTAATGTTGACACTTTCATCATTAATATTCTCGTGTTCTCACAGTTAACTCGAGTTCTCTAATGGATTTTCAGGAATTCAGTTAAAAAGGTGGGATCATTCTGTTGGCTTTCTGTAGCAATCTGCATAGTTGAACTCCTGATTTGTATCAAATTTGGACATGGTGAGTTAATTTTCTTATTTAACATCTGCAATATTCTTTTCAGAAAATCAATTAATTTGGAACCAAACATGACCTAAGTAAGACTTAGATGCCATGATTTTCGACCCATTTAACTAAACAGGGTTCATATCCTGATAAAGGATCATAGCCCCTAAATTCAAACTTGCTGGACTTGAATTATCTGGAATACATCATTTACTTCTCTTTGCGTTGTTGCGATTGAATTTTTCAGGATTATTCCCCAATCCGATGCCAAAGTGGTTGGTGACGTTTTGGACATTTGCTGGCATTGGAATTTTGATGTTCTTGAGTACATGGACATGGCTAATACATAGAACCATGAAGAGAAAACAGCAATAGTTTTGATTTGTTCTTCTTTCGTCCATTCTTTGGTTCTTTTTGTTTAGTCTGGTATTTTAACCATATTGTAAATATGCATTACATCTGTAAAGTGAAATGCTTGATTTTAGGTTATTTTCACTTGTAGTCCATCAATTGTTTTTTAGATATATTTTTCATTTTATGATTGAGCGGAAAATTAGGGGTGCAAAATAGCAAACCCAAAGGTTCAAGCTTTGTCTGTTGAATTTAAAATAGCACTTCTTCTTCTTCTTCAAAAAAGAAAAAGAATTTAACATGATTTTTTTTTTCCCTTTTTGTTGAGGACACCGGGAATATTATGTTCGCTACTCCATTGCTGAGGGGGAAAAAAAGAAAGACTTCAATTAATTTTGTTTGCCTGTGAAATTGAGGGTTGAACCCTCGAGTAAAAGACACGAAATCCTCATTAAACTTATGGTCATATTATCATATACTCTTCTTCTTTTTGGAAAAAGAAAGGGAAAAAAAAGGAAGAAACTATTCGTATAAAGTATTACCAAACTTAATGATAAAATCTGCCTGGTGTACAAATGTGTGTAAACCGATAATTTTTTAGACTCCTAAAACTGCACAAGTCTACATCATAGCCTTTCCGTCCAAAAATGATGGTTCCGTTTATTATAGTATTCGACAATTGATAAATACAAAACTCTTTTGTTATTTTAAAAGCAAAATCTTTTCAATTACCAATAATATCTTTATATAAAATTTTAACACATCTACTATAATTAATTTCGTTTCTTTTCTCCCTTCTTTTATGGATCAAGTAAAAGCATATCCTCTATTCCAAATAAAAAAAATAAACTTGCCTCATTTTTTTTTCTTCTCAAAATTAAAAAAAAAAACTTGCATAACTTTATTCTTCTCATTTTCTATAATCTTGAATCAAAACTTTGAAACATGATATTTAATAATTTTCTTGGAGAACAAATAATCATCAATATAAAATACTCAATTCGATTCCAAGCAAATAAAAAATTAACATATGATATTTTCTGTTGATGATTTATTTTTGTTTTAGTTAGACATGAAAATTCTCAAAATGTCAATAGTTTTTTTTATTCGGTTTTAATTCAAGATCACAAGAAATGAGAAGAAAAAAATATTGTGCAGTTTTTTATTTTTTAATTTGGAAAAGGAAAAAAACTTACAATTTTTTTTTTTGATTTGGAGAAGAAAAAGAAGTTTCTTCTTCTCCAAATAAAAAAAAAAAAATTTATCCATTGGAAATGGAGCTAGAAGAGTCATTATTAACAATTCTTTCAGTTTTGTTTTAATAATGGATTAGATCAAAATGGCTCATTTAAATTCCAACGCTTCTTAATTTGGTGAAGTTGCCGGAAATCAATATATTAATGCACCAATGCATCTTGGATCGTACTACTTAAACAGCCTCTCTGTATTGAAATACAGGGGTAAAGCTGTGTAAATCTTGACCCCCCCAAACCCCAACCGAGTTGGGAATATATTGGGTATGTTGTTATTGTTGTTGTGGAGAAGAAAAAGAAGTTATGCTAGTGTTTTTTTTTATATATTTATTTGGAATAATAGATTGGTTTTTACCTGATTCATTAAAGAAAGGAGAAAATAAAAGACATAAATTATAGTGTGTTAAAATTTTATATAAGGGTATTATTGATAATTGAAAAGATTTTACTCTTTATATGACAAAAGGGACCTCTGTATTTATCAATTGCCATTTCAATATAACAGGAGTATTAATCTAACAATGTGGTCTTTCTATGTCTTTTGGCTAGAATTCTGGTAAAAAAATATTTTCTTTTTTACATAAAATACAATTGGTTCATCATTCCACAAACTGAAGTTCAGGCCAATAGAAAACAGATTTAAAGTTTTCTTTACAGATTGCTTTGTGCAGCTTATCTTGCTTCTTGTTCATAAGCTGATTTATTGATCACGGAATGGCATTATCCCATTGCTCTTTTTTTTCTCCAATAAGTTTTTCCTCTCACAATCTCTTCATTTTTGGACTCCCCTTTTGCTTGAAGAAGATGTGTATAACTGAATGGCTCTGGATTTAAAGACTGAAGCAGTTCTTTGCCTTCAATGATACCTGAAGACAGTGAAAACCCATTGAGTAGACTGATCATGTTGCTTGGTTGAACTCCATTTGTTATTATTCCAACTTGACTTGGTTCACACAGAGACTGAACATTATCTGAAATCCCACATTCTCTCCTGTACTCCAGAATGATATCAGAAAGTTGGTGATTCTCCAAGAATTCATCTGGAATTCCCTGCGAAAAGGAACTGATTTTGTTAAAAATTTTGAACTTGAATAGAAAAGGTGGACAGTTAGATATTGAATTTTAAAATACCTCAAGCATCCATCTAACATACTTGACATTGTTAACATGTTGGTTCATGTCCAAATCACTCCTTTTTGGCTACAAGAAAAGATTGAATTGATTTGATCAGAATCAGTTTTAATCAACCTCCTGTGGCCTCGGCATAAGAATATTCAAGTTTACTTATTCACCTTCAATCCTGACTTGACATATCTTGCATTACTATCCAACTTGTGTATCTTTTCAGGGCAGTCATCTGGGATTGCTTGCTTTTCAACGAACCAGGGTGCAATTTCAGCCCTGACCTCATCTGGCATCTTCGAAAGGCGTCTTGTCTGCTGGTTCATCATCACCCAGGTACTGTTCGACAAATTCGACCTTTTAAGTGAAAATGTAGGCAGGAAAAATTATCAATGGTTGAGATTTTTAGGCCTGTTTTTACCTAGTTGCACGGGCGAAAACTAATCCTGTGGCTTGACTTCTGAGCAGCCAGTCTCTCCTCATGCCATTTTTCCCTGATGCTCCGACCCATGTGTCGATTTCCATTACTTCACCCCTGTATTCAAGAAGCAAAGGATACTAAGTACAGGGAATACAAAATGTTAGCACCATATTTTTTCCATGGAGGCAAAGATTTCGAGTTGATAGCCTGCTAGTTTGCATTTTTAACATAGGGAAAGTGTGGATAGTGATCATTCTGAACTCAGCAAATCCAACTATGGAACTTACCATATTGGATAATGATCAACCTGAACTTGCATTCTTGATACAACCCATATAAGATTGTTTCGCATCATACCATGTGTAGCTCCAAATCCATCCCCAAGAAGGCCTGACATCCAGACATGGTTCAATGCTGTTTCCTGCAGTTCTTTAGGCTTCTCCTGAGTACATTCATCGAATTGTATACGAATGATTTGAAGTAAAATGATAGTACTACCTGAAGTAAGTTGAGGATACTTTCGATTGTCGTGGTTTTATCAGGGCCAACTTCATATGATCTGATCACAACAGTCTGCCTATAACCAACTCCCTCTTCAACAATTTGACCTTGGCGAAAAGGATCTACGAGTTGTTTCTTTGTTGGAATATTCTGACGAATTTCTTGTGCATTGATGAGTACATTCTTCGAAACAGAAATTGTCGAACCGCCTTCCTTGTGTGTCAACACATCACTCTGAGGAGCAGAGGAGAGGCTAGAAGTTCCATTGACTTTGATCCCATTGATGATATTCAGCCTGTTTGCCTCATGGCCATCCCTGTTGATTGAGCACTTTACAGTGAAAAATGCCAACTTGGAGATGGAAAAGGATGCCATATTTTCTGTTGTTTTTGTAGGGATTGTAAAAGTTTGAACTTGTTCCAGCTGTGGGAATGCCTTTATAGCCCCCTTAACCAAACAAAGACACAGCTGACAAAGAGACGATATTAACAAAAGAGGGAACTTTGTTCAATAGTAACTCCTGAGGCTTTGTGACTAATATATCAAAGGGAATTCTGTGTCTCTTCATGCATTTTCTTGAATACTAAAATGGCAAGTTTGGTAAGTATCTGGCTTAGAGTGATCGTCTGTTCACATAGGACCAAAAGAATGCAAATTCTGTCGGTTTTTGTAAAAGTTAAAGCTGTGTTGTTTTTGGTGAGTGAACTTACGAAACCAAAGGGATTCTGATAATAATAGTACCATTCATTTTAAGAAAAAAAATTCCAGCATTGATCCAGGCTATGCTGCTCAAAACAGCTCAGTAAGTCCCACAAAATCTCCAGCTTTACATTAACACACTTAGTTTAAGCAGTTTTTAAGATGTTTCTGGAGGTTCAAGTTCTTGTAGTTATGTGATTCAATTGATTGTAAGACCTTTTTTTTTTTTTTTTAATTTTTAACTGCAGAAATTCCATATTTTGACTTCCAAAAACATAAAACCGGATCAAACTTAACTAAAAGTTATTATTCAGAATTGTGATACAAAACCTCTCTGAAGAGGCCAAAACCATGTTGCAGCTAAAATGGTGGTAATGAAACCGTATAATATTTTCTCAAGACATGTAGCTTCAAATTTTAGCTCTTTCTAATTACTCACTCTGTCCCAAAAAAAAAAAAAAAAATACACATTGAGTTTTAAATTTTGTACTAAAAACAGTATAAATTTGAAAACTTAGTTATCCAAAAAAGTTTATACAACGTGGTTCAAAACTTACTTTATTCTTTATTGTTATATTCGTCTTAATAGAGGGGAAATTACTTACATAGCTCCATAATCAAGTTACAATATCATTAGGAGCATTAACGTCCAGTGAAAAAAACCTTTTGCTTTAGACTAACGGTACCAAAAATTCGTGTGAAGCGTGCGATTTGGATTGATATTCACGATCTTGTCTTGGTAGGTAATTCAAGTGTCGTTAATAGAAACGATACTTGAAGTCTGATGACTGATTTACAGTTTTTGCAAAAACCATTCTCTTCATATAATGGTAAGCTCTTTTAGCTTCAGAATTTAGGAGATGTGTCTTCTTTCCCATGTCATAGCTCCACCTTTTCTTCTGTATTGTAGGTTTTCCAGGTGAGTTTGAACATTGGCACATCGAACTTATCTACATCTCAGATGCTGCATGAATTTTCAAAAAACGTGAAGCACTGCTTTTCTTAATTGTCATTGTCAAAATCTACGTAGATTGGTTTGACATCTTTTTCTACTCATTACCAAATTTCAAGATCATCTGCATGGGAAGAGCGATTCTAACATGGAAAATTTGCTTCGCGAACATCCCTAACGAGGAAGTTTTGCCATATACAGAATCACATATGAGTTAGTTTTGGTCACCTTGTACTAAGAGCAACACCATTGGAGGGCAAAAAATTTCCTCATTCTTTCACATCAGCGTCAAACAGAGATGATGTTACTAAATAGTTCGCATCGTAACTTTCATCACAGAAAATTGAAATTTTGTACTGTAATTGTCTGTTGGAATGGGCTTCTCAGTTCTCATCCTACAAGTAAACGACCAATTTTGTGAATCTGGGATGTTTTCTACATCCACTTTCTTGGACTTTGACAGGAATCCAATTGGACTGGAGGTCTCAATCTAAGAATCTATTACACCGCCTAGCCACAAATTTAACAAAAAGTAAAAGAAAAACGGAGGAAAAAACTAGAAATAATGACCATAGTAATAAATACAGACAATTTAGCAGCAATCCGATGATTACCCAAACAGAATTTGAAGTTACACCATATCTATACAGCAAAATGCAGGAGATTCACTGTTTTCATGGAACCAACTGACTAGTAGATTCTACCAACTTCAAGAAAATGAACCGGCCAAAGAAAAGCCAAGGAATCTTTATTTAATTCAAGAAACATATTAATTTATCAAAGAGAATCTATCACTATATCTTGGACGACAACCAGTCAAAAAAAGAAAAAGGCTGATTATACCAAGAAATTATTGGAGATGAATCTTATTTGAAAAGTTATATACGAGGGACTCCTCATTCAACTACCATTACATGTAAAAACTAAATACTCTAACCTAACGTCTTGCCTCAAAACTCATTTGCCATTTGGAGATTACCCGTATTATGGGACTTGACAGTATTGGTGGCAGAAACTTATTCCTTGAAAGGAAATATTCTTTGCTGCCCCTTCATCCTTCATTCTCCATTGTAAAAGCCAGTGTCTGAATGACAATTAACTGTTGCAAAGGAGATGGAAGTGTTAGAATCATTCTCATACTGATGCTTAAGTCACATACTATACCAAACGAGAGAATCATTAAAAAAGAAAAAAAGAAATGGAAAAAGTTGGTTCAAGTTAGAGTATTAGGGAAGGCTAACTATACAGGACCAACAAAACAGTAACAACGGCACTACACCGTCAATATGAGGAGAAAAGTACATGCATTTATAAGGGATACGTTGCTTCTAAACTCCACCGGGCAGGGACAAGCTAATTTAAAGGGGTTGGCATTAACCAGTGACCACTAAACCCACCACAAGATTCAAATAGAACCATAAGTAACTTACTTGTATGAAAAACGTTCATTATGGCCCACATCAAAACAAAATGAAAAAAAAAATGAAAAAAAAAACCTTCTATGAATGGCAAGCCTTGTAAAATGTGTGTAAAAGGGAGCATTCAAATATCCACCTCCAGTTTATATTTATGATTAAGACACTAACTGTAAATTCATGTAGCACTTGGGGACCAACGTTGCACAAAGACCATGGCCTTCTTTTTCTGACCACGACCTAAAATGAGGATTTCACATAAAAGTGGCACAATTTGAGAAGCTCATTATGGTTGACCAACAAATAAGCCTTTGCAAACATACTAAATATGCCGTGTACTGATCATATCAAGCCTCGTCAACATTAAATCATTCCCAGTTTGCCAAGCATAACCTTCACCATAGAAGGTCCCAAAACTAAAGGCAAAAACTAAATATCAAAATTTACTCCAATTATGTACCACTCATATGTATCCTAAATGGATGGAGTATCTGATAAAGTTTAGGACGGTTGACTAGGTAAAACCATCGAATGATGAGAAAGTGCCTAACTTTCAGAACCTCTACAATTAAAAGAAACTAATAAGAAACTCCTCGTAAAACAGCATCAATTTTGGTTATTCTGTGAGTTGGGCCAATTTAGAAATTATTCCAACGGCATGCAGAAGAATGGGCACAATAAATCACACGACAAATTAAGCCTTTGCAAACATGCTAAATATGGTGTGTACTGACCAAGTATCAAGCCTCATCAACATAAATCATTCCCTTTTTGCCAAGCATAACCTTCACCAAAGATAGTCCCAAAACTAAAGGCAACTAAATTTCAAAACTGACTCCAATTATGTACTATACATATGTATCCTAGATGGATGGGGTCACAGAGGGAGTATCTGATAAAGTTTAGGAGGGGCGACTTGGTAGATCCATTGAATGAGGAGAAAGTGCCTAACTTTCAGAACCTCTACAATCAAACGAAATTATTAAGAAACTCCTCGTGAAACAGCATCAACTTTGGTCATTCTGTGAATTGGGCGCAATTTTATAAATTATTTCAGCAGCATGTAGAAGAATGGGCACAATAAATCAAGATGCAAGCTAAAAGTTGTAGTCATGCAGGAATTAGAAATGGTAGAGAAGGTGTGATAAGCAAATTGAAAATGGTTGAAAAGAGGGTAAACCTTCAAAATTCTGGCTTTTGTGGCGCAATTGAAGTTCTATAAAAGCATAAAAGTCGTCTCAGAATAAGAACCAATTCCATTCGCCAACTGTGGAGATCCTGTCACGCAAGTTTCAAAATTGAAATTGCAGTAACGTAGCAGAGGAAATTCCAATATATCAAAATAAATTGAACAATTTCATACTTACAAAGAAAATACTCGTTTGATCGAACAATTCATGGCTTATCTAGGAAGACATCATCTGGGATATGCTGACTTCCTGCATACGCAACAACCTATTCTCAAATAACAAGAAAACCAAATAGATAAAGGAATTCACATTCTCGTTCCCTTTCGAAAAATTCATTAACAATTAACTTAAGAAAATAAATATAAAAGGAAAACCGAAGTTTCCATTACTGACTGAGAAAGAAAGGCAGTAGTATATATCACGTTACAATTACTTGTAACAAGTACAAATATGAGAGGAATCTTTACCTAGAGTAGGAGACGTCCACTGAAGTTCAATTATCCAAGTTCCACGACAGCCATCAAGCAATATTCCATCAGGTAACTAGCCCTTCATGTTAAAAGAAATAAAATATAAAATAGAAATTAAAACATGTGTCATCCAGGGCAAACAAAATGTTTAACAAAGCACTTTACACTTAATAGCATGGTAACCAGACAGTTATATCAATAACAGCAGCCTCTACTGTTTGGAGGAACATCTGACCAAAAAAATGTCACAATCGATGAGAAGGCTTTGTTTCAAAAATCAGTTTATCAAGAAGAAAATCTTGTTAACAGAAAAATAAAATGAATAGAAGCACTCATCTTAGAAAACATAAGTAATGTAGCTGTAGAAAAGACATTGAACCATGTCAATTTCATTCTGTAAATGTCAAAGGCTGAGAAGGTATGGGGAAGTGGAGAAAGAGACATCAAAACGGGGCACACGCTCTTTGTTTTATTGCTATTACTACTGTTATTATTTGCAGGAATCTGTAACTCTTTCGTGATTAGAATGCAGTTTTAGATGATCTCTTGAAGGTTTATTTCTTCCAATCAAATTGTGCTGGCTTCATAATAAACGAGCATTGCACTTGTTCTTCTGATATAGCTTGTGTCATATTGGAAAAGTAGATAGCCAACAACAATTTGTATAAAGAATTTGAGAGCTATAAACACCTTGAAACACTAAAGAATTTTCAACCTAATGAGAAAACAAAGGATCGAAAAATCCACACAACCTACACATAAGTTAGCCAGAGGAACAGATAATCATTTATATTTCAAATCTTTGCGAT